GCACTAGCAGCCAGGAGTCAGTCGATCAGGCACGCAAGTAGCTCTTCACCCTGAAAGGTAGAACAATTGAAGGACTCCCCCCAACACAAGCAGCATTGATTCAGCACACAAAGAGAGCTGCCTTCCAAGCTGGTCACTGCTGGGGACAGATGATGTTTGCAGCCCCTGAACTCCCATCCCCAGGGCCCAGGAGTTCAAAACTTGTAATCCCTATCTGATCAGATCAGATTTTGAAATCCCATTTTTTGTGATCCAGGATCAGACAAATCGGCCAGATTTTGTCCCTGTAGTTCAAAGCAATTCAGGATAGGATCACCCTGATCCAGATTACGATTTTTCAAGATTACTAGATCCTGAATATCAGTGCTTTAATCCTACCGATCGCCATCTAGTGGATATGAAAAAGAATACAAGGAAGACAAGAGACCACATTGCAGAGACATCTATTGTCCGCACTTACTTTTGAAAGGTGATGACAGATGATGGACTGTTTTTTTGTTGAAGATATTTTTTCTTTAATCTAAATTACATTTGTGATTGACAATCTTTGTTGTGATATTTTTATGAGCATAAACATTTATGTCATCAACATTTGGTTGAAAACAAAATAGGCCACCACAAACGTGACCAAAATTGGAAAAATAAAATGTATTTCCCATGAAGGCTAAAAATTGTGTATTATTTCAGTTAACAAATTTTGCCATCTTATTTATATTGAAACACATTTTTAAATAAATTGTACAGTACATTTTGCTCTGGTAATCCACTGGAAATCCACCCCTCTGGTGGGATCAGGATAATCCAGTTTTTTGGGATCAAACTGATCCCAATCCTGTGTTGTCAGGTTGAACTACCCGTTTTGAAGATTTGATCCAGATTAAAGCTTGGATTGGATTTCCTGATCTGATCGGATATCAAAGTGATCCTAATCCTGTTTTTTGGTTTTGAACTACCCAAAATCCAAATCTGATTTGATCAGATAGGGATTCAAAGTTTTGAACTCCTGGGCCCTGGTGACTGGGGGTGGAAGAGGAAGGCCACAGGTGGATGGGAAGTTTACTGGACCACATTACCAGAAGCGACCCAGGCCTGTCGTGAACTCCTCCGCTGTGGATGCAAAAAGGGGTGCAGTGGACAATGCAAATGTGTCAAGGTAGCAATTCAGTGCACTGCCCTTTGCCACTGTGGTGGACTGTGTTTTCAGAACTAACCTGTAATATTACATATATATTATGTAACATGTATATAATATGTATTTGTCCAATGGCAGCCATTTTGGCGCCATTGGACAAATATGCGATGGCCCTGTAGCCAAAAATCTTCCTTAGGGCATGCTCTAACAGTGTGCCAAATTTCATGTTTTTATCATCAAAAGCACAATTCATTCACATATCTGCTGGACTATAAGCAATGTTCTGCTGTGTATGACAGCAGTATACAAATATATTTTAGACATTACATTTTAATAAGAAATATCAGTTTAAGTGTACAGCCAAATCCATGCTCTCTTTAAAGCCACCAGACTCCATTGACACAAACAGTAAATTGCAGAGGTGGGGACTCGAGTCACATGACTTGACTCGAGTCAGACTCGAGTCGCATATTTTTGGACTTGAGACTTGCTTGACTAACATTGATAAAAGACTTGACTTTGACTTGGTATTCATGACTTGAGACTTGACTTAAGCTTGAGACAGATGACTTGAAAGGACTTGACCGTTTAAAATTAAATATTTGCGTTTGTTTTTGTATTGAGATATTACGTTTAGTTTTTTCGAAAAACGTGATTGGGTGATTATAGCGCCATGCGCGCAAACCTGGCAACCCACTAGACGGCAGGAGCGTCAGTTAACATGGCAGCGGCTAGCGTTACTCCAAAAATAGTGAAGTTTGGATTCAAGGATTATGTTGTCGATAATAAGAAGAGAACAGCGGTATGCAGGGTCTGCAGCATAAAGATCAGTGACACGACCACCAAAACATCCAACTTCATTCGTCACTACAAAAAAACCCATAGAGAAAGGTACGTGAATGTGTTGTGTTAGCTAGGAAGCTAACGTTAAGTTTAAGCTACGTTAGACTTGGTTTCAAATCGATTAAGCATTGCAAAGAGAAGACAAAACGGTAAATGAACACTAGAACCGCCAAGGGATTCATTTTGACTAACCCTGATACTGACGGGCTGTCAGGAGAGGGAGAGAGAGAGAGGAAAAGAGATGCCTGCCTTTTTGAACAGACTTTTTGACTGAGTCCTAGCTATATTGTCTGCAGTTCTAGGGTTAATATTGATCTAATATGATTGTCATCGGTCTAAATTAGATTTCAAATGATTAACTGTGTATGTAATGAAGATCATAGTGTGGGTTAAATCCATTTTCATAACTACTGTCTTTTAACTGATTTAAATGCGGAAACTGGGCTTATTCATCAGAATTTCGTATGACTTGACTTGACTTGCTTGACCTGAGCAATGACTTGACTTGACTTGCTTGACTCTCACCACAGTGACTTGGGACTTGCTTGATACTTGTAGGTCAAGACTTGAGACTTGCTCATGACTTGCACATGTAGGACTTACTCCCACCTCTGGAATTGACCTCAGGAGTTTCAGGTCTATCTCTGCCTGGATCAGTTAGTTATTATTTAGTGTTATTGTGAGACTTTGGTGTATTAAAAGAGTTAGTGAGGATACAGCAAAGACACATAGGAACACAACAACCAGTAGAGGCAGCAGTAGACCGGCAAATGATATTACTGCAAGTCAAAATGACTGGTTTTGTGAATGGAGTCTGGGGCTTTGAAGAGAACATAAAAAAACAGCTTCAGTTCTCTGTTTGAATGCGCTGACGGACAGCAAGGTAAAGCAGCGAAGATAATCTAAATATAGGTGGGCTTTTCTTTAAGGTGGCTAAAATCCACAGCAGTACAACGCTTAGTTTCTGTGCTATCACTCCAGTCTGCTTTACCAAACTGCAATCTGCTGTAGGTATCTAAGGGCAACACTTTAGATACTTTTAGACTTTAGAAAATCCAAACCATCCCTTAAATATGGACAATGTAGTTTACTTTGACTCCATCCCACATACATCTGGAGGAAACTACATGTACTTTTTCTTAAAGGAAGCAAAATAAATGAGAAATATTGTGAACAGTCAATAATAACAGGCCTGGGCTGAAATCCACAGAGAGGGTAGGGTGGAGAGGATTTGTCTTTTAATGCCATTTGTTGGCGATATAAAAATTAATTAAATATCACCAGCATCAATCTTAATGTCAAAATATCACAGTTGTTTCTGTTAAATCAGATTAAAAAATCGAATTGACAAAGAGTTGGATACAAGCGGGTTTCATTTTATGACATAAATCTCAGTTAAACCATCTTATCCTGTTAAGCCCTGAGCCTGTTGTTCAGGTCTCAGGCTCGAAAGTGACATGCCCAGAACAAATGACTATATCTTCACTTCTAAAAGGGGTAAATTAACAATCTTTTTTCTCAAAGCAATGATACACCTGTGAGTTGGATGTAGAAACGTCAGAATCAATATAGATGTTTTTTATTTTAAAGTAAATTCAGATTGAACATAGTAAAACAATTTAAATTATAGTTTCCATCCAAAAAATAAACATTACTCATAGTGAAAACCACCCTTGAATGATGGGATAGTAGACTAAAAGCTTTAGGAATCCAAACTATAACATATAATAAGTACCCTGTATCAAGATTGATGCAAAACAAGTGACATTTTACCTTTTTAGAGAGATTTAGAAAATAAAACCCACCTCTGGGGTCATTTGGGTGCATTTTCCATATCTCTGGAGCCCATCGGTCGATTTTGATGATTGACACCTCTTTTGAACCGTTAGAGCCAATAGAATCGAGAGGGAGTTCCTAAATCCACCTACATGTTACCATTGAGGAGTGAGAGAGATGCGCACGCAGCTTGCCCAAACCGAAAGCTATGTTACGCTCTGAAAACTGAAAACGGAAAACTAGGCTTATTGCCATAAATATGACGATGGATTATCAGTAATCATTTCAAAGGGACACAGAGACATTGGATTAACCTTCAGCAGCGTTTATATGCGTTTTAATGCCCTTGAACACAACTTCTGATCAGAAAACAGCAACGGTAAGACGTATTTGCCGTTTTGGCTACATAAAGTGAAGTTGTGTGTTGTCTTTGCTGGCTTTCGCTGCCAGGAGTTTTGGTCGCACAGTGATGATACTTATACCATTGGAATCTGTGGAATCTCAGCTTTCAGGTGATATCTTGTCTGTGCAGATCCGATGAAGTATAACATATTTTTAACGTGAGTTATGTGCTAAGTGCGTTAGCACTCTTTCGCTTAGTGCTAATTCAGAGGCTCGGCGTTAGACTTGTGTTTTGTTTCGGTAAAAATTGTTCATATCGTCAGGTAGCTGAGTTTCTTCCCATTAAGTGGGTATGACACATTCATAGTTTGTTAAATGTTAAGAAGCTCTCAGATGCTGTTTCTTGCTGGCACCGGGTTTAACAGGTTAAAGAGGCCATCCAGAATATTCCAATGTAGCTACAAGAAAGCCAACATGAGAGTTCATTCATTTCCAGAGTGACAAACTCAATCAGATGGAAGAATTGATTTCTGTTAGAAGATCGTGCCACGGCAACACAAGCTATAAACTGAACTAAAAAGAGAAATAAACAATAGCATAAATGAAAAGAATAAACTAAAATGGTTTTGGGATCATGTTTACATGTTTTCCACAATGTCAGCATGATGACGGACCATTTAACCCATTGATACAAATTAAAAAGTACCTCCCGCTCAAACCAAGGACAGACTTCCATCCATCAGCCCATGTTTTGAATTTGAGGACATGCACAAGAAATTGTTAGTTTTAAGTGTGTGAAAGTGCTGCAAAACGCTGCAAAAAGGGGGAAATGAAACCATGAAGACACAAGAGTGATAGTAACGGTTCAGGGAGGGTAAACATGTGAGGGGTGAAAGCTGCCACTCACTCGTCTCCACTCGTAGAAGTAGGCGATGTCCATTAGTGTGTAGTAATCCTTCAGGGGCTCGTCTCCATACAACACCTCCACCTGCAACACACAGCAAACACTCAACACACTGAACACACAGCAAACACTGAACACACTGAACACACAGCAAACACTGAACACACAGCAAACACACTGAACACACAGCAAACACTGAACACACAGCAAACACACTGAACACACAGCAAACACTGAACACACAGCAAACACTGAACACACAGCAAACACACTGAACACACAGCAAACACTGAACACACAGCAAACACTGAACACACAGCAAACACACTGAACACACAGCAAACACTGAACACACAGCAAACACTGAACACACAGCAAACGCTGAACACACAGCAAACGCTGAACACACAGAACACACTGTGACCCGCATCAACAGACGCGGAAGATCCTTAAAGATCCTCTTTAAGATGAGGTATTTCTACCTACAGAAGTTAAGATCATCTTTACTATAGTTTGTGATATTTTGAAGTAAAAACTCCATATAACATAAAGCCTCCGTTGTACAGTAACACATAATATGCAATATATATTTAAGGAGGTTTTGGGATCTTTCTTTTTTTAACGTGTTGTTGCCTCTTTATTTAATACGTTAGTCTTCTCTTTTATTTGGTCTTTTCCTGTTTTGTTTCCTTTTCTGTAACAATGGAAATATCCCCGCTGTGAGACAAAGAGGTTTTTTGATTTAAATTGTAATCATCAATATGGAGAGTTACATTTGAATATCGACCCAGTAAAACCTGCTGCTCATGTTCGATCCTTTTCTTTATTTACTTACGCATGAAAGTTTAAAGTTTTCTTGTTGTGTTTCTACCTCGTAAAAGAATGGCACTGTTGTGGCCGATCATTTGTACAAAGATGAGCCTTTATTTGATAGCGTCCAAAAAAGAGGGAGGTTTTGATGAAGAAGCATTAGGTGAGGAAAGTCTAAAAGTAGGGCTGAAGCCAATTTGTTAGCATCCAGGTGGACAGGCGCACAAATAAATATGACCTTTAATTCATTATTTCGAACATTAGCTGCAGAATTTTCAGATCTTTTTAAAATAAAAATATAAACACTTTCAAGGTCCCTAAACCAAGAATTCCAACACTCTTGCAGATATTATTCTCCCCTCTTCTATGGCGGCAGAATTAATCTACATTTAATCAATATAGCAATATGGGTTAGTGTAGTATTCAAAATTGCAGTATGTGCAATAATTATAGGGGCAAAATTATACATATTTTTAATTCAAGGGGACCTATCATGCAAAATGCACTTTTGTACGTCTTTTATACATGAATATGTGTCCCCGGTGTTCCAGGGAACTCACCAAGTGTCAGAAAACACAACCCTCTCTATTTTCCTCCATACCCAAATCTCTAAAAAAGGGGCTGCAACGGATCTGATAAAAACTGATCACGTTACTGACGTCAGGACGGTGGCGCTACGGCTATTGGGCCAACTCTCCACCAATCAGGAGGAGACAGCCACGGCCATTGCCGCTCGAAAGCGCTGGAGACGCTGTAGTACATATGCCAGGCCTGTAAGTGGCGCTGTAGTCTGCCACAAAAGCAGCGAAGAAGACTTCCTGCCCATAGTTACCATGGTTACCCTTCTGTTTATTCTCCGCTGTGGCTTTTTTTCTCCCTCCCCGAGGCAAGCGTTTGCTCCCGCTGCTTTAATTCAATGCAATCCCTCCCCGTCGAGGCAAGCACTGTAATTCTCTCCGGTTAGTCCACCAGCAGATGACAAACACCCACCTCTCCGCCTCTTCCAAGGAACGAGGGGACCGTGCGGCAGAGTTTCAGTTTCAGTTTGTTTCGCCGGTCAAGATGTCCGTTAAAGTTTAAATCTTCCGGACAAAATTAGAAAAGTGCCGGTCAAAGGTCTTCTTTGTTATTTATTGAGCTTTAAAACAAATGAATAACGACTCTATATAATAAAACACGGAGGACGGAGATCTCTTTTTCTCCCCCTCTTCTGACAGCCCAGCAGCTGATCAGAGCACGTCTCCCCTCTCCTGCAGGGGGGCGTGGTCAGCAGAATCAGACCCGTAGACAGCAAACAGCACATAGAGCGAATGAGGCATGGCTAAAATGCATGATCTGTTTGGTATTTTGAAAACAGAAACGTATAAATATACCTTATATATGTATGGCCCTACAATATATCATTTCAATATAGCATGATAGGTTTCCTTTAAGGATTGTGGTGCTGCATAGACTTTCCGGCCTACAAATCCTATTGCACAGACTTAATCAAATATCTGTGTTTGGTATCTCACCATGATAATTCTGAATAGATCTTTTAATGATAGTGAGAACAAAGACGCAAAAATGATCAATCCCTCCAATATCGTGAATCACCTCGCAAGTCAGAATAATCACAATGATTTTTTTTCCAAAATCATGCAGCCCTATACTCTATATTCTTATCATTAATGCAATTGTGAAATATAAAATATAATTCCTCTACACCCACAGCAACAGATGTATACAGTCTGTTCATTTTTACTTTTGTTGTATGTTTCGATCACGATTCCAATACATCCCACTCTTAATGAACGCAGCAGTACAGTGAGAGATACTGTGTTAGCAAATGTCTCAAAAGACTTTGTGTGAGCTTCAGTTTTGAAATGCAAACTAATCAGTAAAAGGTAAGTCTGTTATTTATTACATTATGACTTTTCATAACAAAAAAAGCACAGGTGTAACAGTGACAGCGACTGAGATCCAGAGACGTGTTATTGTGAAAGCTGTCTCACTCTGTTCTCTCTTTACCGTGACATAGTTAAAATAATAACTGTCCTTTTGGAGACAAATGGTGGTGGAACCAGTTGTAAACATGACAATGACATTGGATCGGCTTACAAAGTTGTTATGGTTGTAAACAGTTGTCTTCTTGCTAACAACATTAGTTGTTTTTGTAAAAAAATGTTGCTGTGTTTATTTGTCGACTTCATGTATAAAATAAAATGATCCTTTAACTCTATTGTTTGACCCCATCAACTCCTGAGAAAAATATCTTGCTCTTTTGCTGCTTCTTTTTTCACAAAGTTCATCAGCTAGCTATATTTTGTCTTCCACAGTGCATAGTACCACTCGATGAAGGCAGGATTCTCAGCTAGTAGCTGTAGCAACATCTTGCTGATATCTTCAGTGCACTTACAACCTAGTTTAAGGTTATTTTGATAATAGAGTGGCTATTTAAAAATGTCAAGTTTGTGCAGAATGCCACGTGTCACACTTTTTTTCTCTGACCAATCACAGGTCTGCAGTGATTTAACTCAACCTTCTGGTTTCAGCTTTGCTTGCTTGGAACCTCAACATTGTGGTCGCAAAAAAAGTAGTAGGTGCTATCATCCATAACTTGTGCAAACAAAACTAAATATTGAGCATCCAGTTGAGTAGAAATGTGGCATTTGTCTTCCGTAAAATGCTCAGATTAAGTTTGTTTATCTGACTGTTTTCACTTGAAACAGCTGTACGCTACACCTGACAGCAAACCAGAAATGAGTAGCATGAGTGAACCAAAACAGTTCAGTTCTGGTCCTAAATCACTGCCATTAGCTTTTTGCAGAAAAGCGCTTCACTTTGGAAACATTACATTTGTTTCTTTAAAGCTCTGTTAGTTAATATGTTGCACTGATGCATGTATGACCTGCCTTTGTATCAGATTTTACAACTGTGTAATTTAGAGTCCCTTGATATTATTGTGTGGAAACCCTGATAGTTTGTTTAAATCAATACAGCATGGGTTGCTGTGTGTGGGTACAAAGTGTCTCATTACCCGGTAGTTGTTAGGGATATCCATCTTGCTTCGGAGGAACTTTGCTAAGTGCATGACGGACATGGCTGCTGGGCACTGCAGGAAGCGTTTACCGTTGGCCTGGCACCGAGAAAAGAGCAGAGAGGAGACCGTAAATCCACACTGAACACCAGAAGACCTCATCAAACATGACACGTGTGTGTAGGCTTCAACTGCTGCGTCACCATACACTGATTTCTTTCAAAATAAATAAATAAACAAATCTGACTTTACCTTATCACCTTCCAGCTCTGAATGCTGCCTCTCATTATTTCTGCAAGGAAATATTCAAAACAAAGAAAAGGCGTTAAGCAATAACAATAAAATACATAATTATCACAATTATTTTGGAAAATATTGAAATCAGAATAATTCAACATAACTACTCCTTGACTTTAAAAAATAGTGCATTCTATTTAACAGAGGATTTATTCAACCTGTCAAATAAAAAGCAATAAAACAATTAAAATAATATAGTATCCTATATGCATTTAAGTGTAATAAAAAAGAGGTACGCTGTAGTGCTTTTCCACAATATACTGAATACTAATAAAATAAAACAGTAAATATATTGATCATTATTATATTATTAATATTATATTATTATTTGGTAAAAATGTTGATCAGAATTATGATCAACATTATGATGTTTGCTCAATATTGCATGACAAGTAAGGGATAATGTGCAGTGAAGCGGTCATTGAAAAAAAGAAAACACCCGATCAAGATCTCTCCGGTTCGCGTCAGTCTCTGTGATCATACTGTCGGTGGGTTTTTTCCAATAATGACCGGCTCGCTGCACATTATCCAGCTTATTACACGGCCAAATACTAAACAAACTAACGACTAACTTGACTTATTTTTTACTTATTTAAACCAGGCCAATTTATCGAAACAGCTATTTCAAAGTGTTTGCAAATTTGCAGAAAGTAGGTCCATTCAAGCATTTAAAAAAAACATCTTTACATCTTTATTTCCATGTTGTATTGCCTGCCCTACAGCAATGTTCTTTCAAATTGTTGATCATTTGAAAGAACATTGTTTTTGTTCGAGCAACTTAAAAAGAGACATATTTTTTGTTCAAAACAAGCTGTTATATAGCTTTTGCATATGTTTTATAGCCTACATTTGGGTTGTTTTTGTGTGTTGATGTTGTCAATTTGGAAATGCAGTTTTCTGAATATAATAATGGAAAAACATTTTTTTGGCGTGTTTTTTATCCGATTCATCGATTAATCGTAGAAATAATCGACAGATTAATCGATTATCAAATGAGTTGTTAGTTGCAGCCCTAATATAATTCTATATAGATTTAAACCAAATAGACATATTAAATACAACTTGATAACATTAACTATATATTAAAGAAAGGGCTCTTCCACAACCTACTGAACACTACTTAAAATAAATATTCAATATAGAAAATATTTAATAATTTGGACCAAAACAAATATGACCAACTATGTCGTAGCCTATGGTCGTAGCGCACTACCACAACATACAGAAGACTCCTGAATCAATGTATTTTTTTAAATGTTTACGTTTAACATATTCCAGTCAGGACCTCCAGCAAAGCAAACTGCTGGAAGGTAAACGTAGGTTGGAAAATGGCAGGATAATTACTGCAACGGAACGTGGAATAATGTTCGCTTTATTAAGATTATCCTGCTAAAATTGGAAATAACAATTCAATGAAACACAGCCCAAATGACAATGGAACCTTTTGAATTCTTCACACATTAATTCATTTCATTTCCTATTTATCCTAGGTTTTAAATGGGCCTTAGCTATTTATTTAAGTAAAACTACTCCATTGTTTGCTTTATGCATGATCAGGTAATTATTTGTCATTGTTTTCAAACCTGTCTAAGATTTTCCACAGCTGTTTATTTGTAAAACTGAGAAATGATTGACTCACTTGTTCCTCTCGTAGAACTGTATGGACAGACTGATGATTTCATCCTCTGCTATGTTAAACGTCTCCACCACTTCCCCTGGTTCCAGCACACGGTTCTCTGCGTAGAAGTCCCGCCTCCGTTTCATCTCATCTGGGTTCAGAAATAAAAAGTGTCCATCGGTAAACAAATGCATCATCATGAAAAGCTGTCTGTTCCTCTGCAGGCTCATAAACGTGGTCTTACCTTTGAATAATCCCGGAACAAGCTTATAAACAATATCTTGTAGAGTTTTGTCAGCTCTGGAAAAGATAGAAAACAGAGTTGATAAGCATGATGCTCATTGCATTCAGATGACATAATACCTGACACAGATCATGGTAACTTACCGGATGCTGAGCTGAGGACATGTCTTGTGGACCTGAACGTCACATCGAGGGCAGAACTTATTTGTCTCCAGGAAGGCAACGATGCAAGTTTTACAAACTGCATGGAGAGAAAGAGGACAGATGCTAAATCACTGCTCTGTATTACAAACAGTGTTCAAGAGGAATTTAGGATTGCTTTAAGTGGGGTTGCTACTTATCCATAGACAGGGGACTACATACAGTAGATTGGACAAACAGACAGGAGTACAGGCAGAAAAGGCCCCATCCCGAGCAGTCAAATATGTTTTACTCAGTTTTTGACACTTTAAAGGTCCCATGTCATGCTTTTCCGGTTATTACCCGTCCCCTTGTGTGTTATGAAGGTTTTTCTGCATGTAAACGGTCTGCAGAGTCTAAAACCCTCAAAGTACACCCTGTAGCGAGTAAAACTCTAACACAGAAAAGACCTGTCTATGCTGCCCCAGAAGGCCTCGTTGGAGATTTCTCATTTTCCATTGTTTGCTTCCTGGGTTCTGTGACGTGTGAATACCCAAATCAACAACAAATGACCGGATTGGCCCAAATGGACCAATCTGCGGAGCACCTCACACACCAGGATCCCTTGGCTAACTAACAGGGAGTCCCCATTGACTTGCATAGAGCTCCCTGGTTGGTAATAGACGAATTGGGATCGCGGAGAAATGCTCTCCGCAGACCCATTCTCACAGCGTTATAAACCTTTTTCTTTCTCAATATCAAGCCACACTTATTGTTTTTACTTCGGCTGTGAGTGTCTGTGTGTGCTCAGGATGAGTTTCGCTGTGTCTCTCTGTATCGCCGACCCGGAAACTCGTTGCGAGGCTCGCAACGTCCCGACCAATCAGAGCACACTGGGCTCACAGGGAGGGGGGGGGGGTGCAGGAGCTCCAACAAGGCGTTTAGGACAGAGAGTGAATTCACATACTATACAGAGATGCTGTATGAGAAACCAATGTGATTTTGGAAAATTGCACAATTTAAATCTATTCTAGTAGACCTCAACAATGGAAATATGATCAGTAGAAATGGCCATGACATGGGACCTTTAAAGAAAAGCTATCAATGCTCTCTTCAAAGCCACCACACTCCATTGACTAAAACAGTATTTTCTCTGGCATAACACAGGAGTTGCTAGTCTACTGCTGCCTTACTCTAATAGTTAATTAGTTAGTAAGTTAATTCGTTTTTTGTGTGACTTTGGTGTATTCAAATGGTTAGTACGAACACACAAACAAACAACTAGTTGAGGCAACAGTAGACTACCATTTTCTGCAAGTTATAAATTACTGTTTTTTTTCTTCCAATGGAGTCTATAGAGTGCCACAGTGACACGTCCTAAAACCCGGAAGTAAGCTGCGCATGGGTTCCTTCGACAAAAAAGCAATGCAATTTCTCCATAGGATTTTGAAAAATAGTCTGTGGTTGACACGCATTTAAGAGACGGATCACGTTTTGTTCAGTCGGATAATCTCCACATGTCTACCCTACTTTTCGAGTCATAAATCTAATCGATAGATTTATGATCAATAGATTTATTATTATTATTATTATATTCAGTTCCCCATCAGAATGGGCTAACTGAAAGCAAGGTAAGGCGGTTAAAATGTTCTAAATTCAGCATACACTTAAACTATTAGTTTGTTTAGGTGGCTTAAGTATGTTTTCCTGCTGTCCCTGTCCACAGTGGTACAATGCTTAGCTTCCCTGCTAGTACTTCTGTTTGTTTCTGCAAACTGACATCTAGGCATAGGTAGTACACTCATAAATAAGTACCTCATCACACTCCAAAACACCAAAGCTATCCCTTCAATGTAGACTTCATGGAGCGGATTTAGAATACAATACTACTTTTGATTTGAGTTAAAGCGATATAATATAAACTCTGTCAAACGAAATGTAAATGTGTCACATGCAATAAACATAATTGATCCCTCTTCCAACAGACCTGATTTTAAAAAGAACATCGTCAGTAAATGACTCATGTTTGCCTCCATACAACCACAACATGAGCTCTGCTAACATACAATAAATGGGATCTTCTTATTGGGGTAAATGAAAACACTGTCCATGCATGCGAGGGGATGTTTTCATGTGAGGAACTTACAGGAGTGCAGGCACTCTACGATGGTTGTGGCATCAATTAAGTAGCCAGCACACAGTGGGCATGTGAGGTGTGAGTTCAGATCTGTGATTTTAATCCGGTTGGGCTGCATTTTATCCATCTGGACAGATCTGAGGAGGAATCAAACAACAACACACAGGTTCTAGTTACAAAGTAGGGCAAAGGAGACGATGTAAATGTGCTTGTTAACACTATTATAAAGAAGAAGAAAGAAGAAGACTTACTTAATTAATCCCCAAGGGGGAAATTAAGGGTTTCACTCTGGTGTTATTTTTTGTTTACATTAGTTGGTATACACATGAACACATGCACAAACAGAACCACATGCAGAGTAGCAGAGTGAAGGGGCTGCCAGTCGTCCGTCGCCCGGGAGTTGGGACTCGGTGCCTTGCTCAAGGGCACCTCGGCTGTGCCCAGAGAGTGAACTGGCACCTCTCCAGCTGCCAGTCCACATTCCGTATGTTGGTTTTATCGGGACGTGAACCGCCGACCCTTCGGCTCCAGAGCCAAGTCCCTACAGCCTGAGCCCCTTATTATTATTATCCCAAGAGAGTGGCTGCCTAGACAATGTATGCAGTTCGTCCTTGGGACAGCCGCTTGTGAAACCACAACAAAGAGAGCTGAGGGCCAAAAAACACAAGTATACTGACATGTAGTAGCGAGAAATAACGTGAGGAGAGCAGGAGCCGTGCAGCTAAATGCAGCCTGTGTGCTGCTGCTGCTCACAGCCAGCAGACTATTGAATCGCCCCTGTGTGGCCTCATCTCGTGCATCAGCTCCGCGAGCAACAAAGAGCGTTTCATGCCCCGGAGCTCGCGCCGCCCGCCCGGGCACAGCCACCCGACACATCCCGAGCGAGCACACACACTGATGGGGGTTGCAGAGCCGCAGAAAATCACACTGGTACACAAAGCAGCCATCTTAAATTCACTGACAGGGCTGTATCAGGAGGCGAACAAGAGAGGCTCAAAATGTGACACCGTGCACTCAGTGTGCGGCTCATCAAACCGCGCGCGACGGGCCCGATAAAGAGCGGGCACCGACGCTTGGTTCCTACCTGATCACACATCAAAGTTAGCCTCTCCTCCCAGCCAGGATCCAGGTAAATTATTTGGACTTGGGCAGAATTTGCAGCAGCGCCAGAAAATGGCTTTTTTCAGCACCGTCAGAGGACTGCCCATTTTGGATCACGTGATATTATTTTGTCGCCTCGTTCACGGGGCAGACAGGGATCCTCTGCAGGCCCGGCTCACTTCATGCATCCATTTACTCTGCGTGGGCCCGCACTTACATTCTGTAACGTTATATCTATTTTTTTATTTTGTATTTCAATATGTTGCACAGGAGAGGGGTGTGTTTGTCTCAGTCACGCATAATGTGAATTTGCGTGAGGCCCCGCAGCCTTGTTGCAGGCCTCCCGGGCCCGAGCGGTGGGCTGTCCCAAAAGAGTGTAGAATTTAATTGGCAATTTGCAGGTCTCGCTCCATTTGAATTATTTTAATAAGGAATATATTTATATCATATAATAATATTATGAAATAATCCTCTTTCGTACAAATGAAATACAAATTATTTACATGGACAAAAATATATTTTAAATAGGGTAATAATTGGTAAGGCCTACCAGTGGGAAAATGTGTCTGATCAAATACATACTGAATAGGCCTTAGCATGCCACCAATCCAGTGAAGCACAGTTTAAAATGAGTTTCATTTTAATCAAAATAAGCTTTTCCCTTCAAACCAGAGATTGGATAATGTCTAGGACTCTAGGGTAACCTAAGAAATCAGCACACATTTACAGATAGAAAGTCAGCAAAAAATAATAGAACTACAATATAAAAGGGTAAAACTGACAATAAGTCAGCAGTTCCCTTAGGTAACATGCAGACATTCTATTTATTGTATTCATGTATTTGACAGGGAGATTATCTAAGGCATTGTTGCATTTAAAAGAGTGAAACAGTCTAAGTTTATTAGTTGTAGTTAATCTGAAAACCTGTTCCATGGTTAGGCTACTAATAAATACAATCACATAATACAACAGTGTTACACAGGCATAGAAACTAACAAGAAAAGACAGACAGACAAACAGCAGTAACCTAAAGAACAATTGTGAACCACGACAAAAAATATGATTAAGAAGAGCATTGTATATCTATAGCCTACTATATGAATATACATCAATCTCAGTGTTAAAAGATTTGTCTTTAAGAGAGATCTTCAGAATCTGTTATCTCTTACTTTAGGACATTCATGGTGTCAGATCAATTACCCAGTTATACGTTTAATGCAAACTATACTAGATTTCATATGTGTTAGGAATGGTAACATAATGTAGCCTGTAATGAGAGTTTTCTCTGAAACAAAACATTTTGGACAGTGTATGATAACCATCAGGTCTCATGAAAGAAAACAACTTCAAACTGTTACAAAGGATGACATTATGAGGACATATCCTGACCCAATTTTTTTGTTTTCCTTTCTTTGTTCTTCACTTAAAATAAAAGGTTTGTGACTTAAGGCATATGATAAGGCATGTTTTTTGTCTTGTTTTAATTATACTTTATGTATTTTTAACTGTAGACGTATGGACAAACAACGTGAACAAATAAGAAGTAATACAAATATTTACAAATAGATTATTACAAATGAGTGAATCTTGTTGTGTATTTGTACATGTATTAATGTGTAAAAGGGCTTACTCCAGTAATTTAATTGAAGAAGCCAAGATATCCTGACTTATAGACCCTTAAAAAGGTAAAGCCCCAAAAACATGAATACACTTCGCACAATGCAACTCTGTTCGTAAAGACTTACCCTGCTATACATACAGAAAAGTTAGCTTTATAGCAATAAAATGGTTGGAGGGCCCTTTTAAAGTATTATTTTAACTTAATGTCCTGTGAAGAGGCAGAAGACTCATCAGACGACTTTTTATTCTTCCTTTATGAAGATTCATGTGAGAAAGTTCCCTAACACTGGTCCCCTGAGGCAGGTAGGGCTGCAGCTGCCCATTAGTCATCTGAAATGTATTCATACAAAGTGTCTATACTCATCTATATTCTAATTGTACTACTGTTTATAGTGTCTTTATGATACTGTCTATATTTATACTACCCCCATATTGTATTCATATTTATAGTACTGCTAATACTGTTCATATACTTTAACTTTTCATATCTGTCATATTTATAATCGTATATTATACATATACATTACACTGCACTTTACTGCTTCTCTTGCACATTTGGTGAGATGCTTACTGCATTTTGTTGTCCGGGTAGTTGTACTCGATAAAGTTGAATTTGATCTAATCATGGATTTAGATCTTTTATCAAACATAGTGGTGGTAATATCTACAGCTCAAATGTTTGATCCTATCTAAACACTACAGGTGCAAACATGAGCTCAGTAGTATATTGTTTTTAAAGAGCTACCTGACATTTTTATAGTGACACAGAATCTGACAGGTGACAGATTTAAGTTCAGGGCCATAAACACGGGGACACTGAGGTCATGTCCGCTGGTGGTGGATTTTTTCAGGATTTTTTTTGCATTAGCCACCTGGGGGTACTTCACACTCCACAAACTAATAATAAAGAAATCGACATCTGGATTTTTTTTACAGATTATAAACTCTATATAGTATTTTCTCACTAGAAATATAAAAAGTGTTACACATGAATCCATTAACAAGTACACAGGCCAACTTGCCAAACACCTAACTGCTTTTATGTTGACTTATCAATTAGGATGTACTTAAAGCACTTGAAAAAAACACGTACAAGCTTTTTACAACACAAAAGCCAACATAGCAGCAGGGGGAGGGGTAGAGGGAGGATAAGAGTGAGAGGGAGGACACATTGAAGTCAGTTCAAGAAAAATATCCATTTACTGTATTTGATATTGAGCACATTTTATGTTCACCCAACTGTCACTGTATGTGCTGGGCATGCATGTTGCGCTGATTAGCCGTTTAGAAAAATGTGAAAGTTTCTGCACATATTTGTGTAGTGCAGAAGTCTCTGCACACAGAAAGGACCCATAAAAGAGGAGTGTGCTCTTGATTGAATTCGGTGGACAAAAAGTCTGGTAATATGAATGAAGCGTGTGCCATTTTGGGCAAAAGTTTGCTTTTGATATGTGTTTATATAGTTATGAGTGCAGTTTTTTATTCTGCAGGATATATGGGGTGTTTTGCACTTTGGGTGTGTGGTTTTGTTAATTGTGTTAAGTTTTTTGAGAAAATTAGCCATGTTTTCAAAAACGTGTGTAAGCATTGAAAAAAAACTGTTGGTAAAATACTTGAGAAATGTACTTAGTTACTATCCAACACTGACTGTATGGCTCCAGCCTCCAACCCATCTCCCCTCCTCTCCTTTGGGTATCCAGGGTGTGGGAACCCCTGCAGTGACCACCGGCGGCCTGCTGGGGGAGCTGTTGACTGTAAAGTGCAGTACAGACGCCATCTTGAGGAGACCCCAAACGCAGCACTGGTTTATGACTGACAACAATCTCAAGCGCATCATGATGGGATTACTCACTAACAAGTAAAACAGCATCACACCTGCTCTGCGTTGCACGCGCTGAAGTGAAGGAGCAGAGCTGCCCGGCGCGTGCTCCCCTCTCCCGGTAGTTTTCCTGCAGAGAGGGGCTGGCTGCAGCCCGATGGCCGGCTAGCTGCTCTCTGGACTCCGCCGCGGCCTGCTCGGGAGGAGGAAGGGTGGTGACGGCGCAAAATGCTATACCGCTGACTCCCAACAAGACAGTTATCCTACCCAGAGACTCGCTGCGAGTTGGACGACGAGCACGATGCACTTATAGATTTTTTAAAACGCTCTTAACTTTCCGCATTGTTTTGTTGTGTGTCGGGGCGACAGTGAGTGTCGTCTTGCGTACCCTGAATTCCCAGCCTGAGACATGTCATCCAACTGCACCAGCGCAGCGCCTGTCAGCGCTAGCAAAACGAAGACGAAAAAGAAGCATTTTATAGGACAGAAAGTGAAATTATTCCGTGCAAGTGAGCCCATTCTCAGCGTTTTAATGTGGGGTGTCAACCATACGGTGAGTCCATCCTAAATGCCTCTCTGTCGCTAGTAAGCGGTTTGTTTATGCTGCTGTTTTGATTTAGCTAGCATGCTAGCTTGTTAGCCAGCTGCCCTCATCTGTCATGCCAGCTTTGAAGCTTTATCTCGTTATTTGTCTTTGTCATGTTTTCGCCAGGTATTGAGTAGTGTGCTTGGATAAACACCTGCTGGTTGACTCTGTGCTAAGCTGGTCATTGTCAGACAGTGTGTAGCTAACTGCCTCTGAAGCTAGCCTCGGTGTGCTGAGCCTGAAGCGTGCGTTTTGCAGGGATCTTTGAAGTGTGTGTGTTAAACTCTGCAGCTGTGGAATGAGTATCAGAAAATAGGCAGGTTGTGCATTTTTACTCAAAGCATAGCGTTACCAATCTGCCTTCATAAATCATGGATGCTGATGTGTTTGGGAGCCAAGTCGTGAGCTGCGGCTGTAGTGCAGGAGCATGGAGCGGGAGGGGTGTGACCGGAGCAGCAGGTTACACTCTCTCAGCCCCACAGCTGCACACAGCAGCCTGCCTTTTGTTCAATAAACCTGCTCTTAGCGTGCAGTTGCAGATCCAATGCTCGGTGCATGCAGCCGACTGCTGCACTTAACTCCTGCACATTCATTTCCTATAAATAGAATAGAAAATATATCACATTCACTTCTGGCCGACAGTGCCTATGGCTATGAAAAGCACAGTGAGGTGCAACATCAACACCAGAGATAGATGGAGTGTGTTTGCAGCACTAGTTTGCTCTTGCTTAATGTGCAATACACCTAATAACTGTTTTGTCAGACACCCACTCAGGCACAGTTTGTTTGATGCATGAAAAGCAATAAATAACTCAAGGGTCTCAAAGTCACTACATTATTGCCCGATTTGCACTATTGGGATGAAATGTCAACACAGCAGATTTGCCCCTGTGACTTCTTCTTTTGTCTGATTACTGCAAGACATAAGATAAGAACCACCCTTTCCTTTTGAATGAAAAGACAATATAATGCATGCAATGGGGGAATTAAGGAGGCAGATAATGATATGGTCATCCCTGCAGCATCTTTTATTCAGAGACTGAACTTTGGCAGTGGGCGTGTGGGTGCAGCACGGCCTGGAGATAGTTTGAGGTGTGGGCGGGAAGCCGATTCAAGACATCAAACAGACTTCTCATCAAAGTCCCCTCCTTCCAGTCAGCAGTTGTATACATTTTTAATAGAGCCTCAGTTGTGAAGCTTGAGACTTCTCCTCCACAAAGCGTCAGTTAGTGTGCAGATGATGCAGCAACTACACCACCTGTTTGATGCTGGAAATCGCTCAGAATCTTTTTCTGTCATGTCAGAAAGTCATTTCCAATCCTGTTTATCTGAGTTTAAGTTAAAGAAGTGTTTGTGATTGACTGCACTGCTTCTGCCTGATCTGCAGTAATGACACAGTGTCGTGTTGCATATAGAAACATTTTGTTAAAAATCTTCAAGTTTCCACAAGTTATAAGCAATACCTCACTTTCTGTTGAGTTTACTGTTACTGCACACATCTGAGTTCATGTTATTAACAAGCCTTCACAAAAAACTACCTGACTTCATTCCAATATTAAACTCGTAACTGTCCAAACCACTACAGTTTGGATTTAAATATACATAATATATATATGTTTTCCTACCATGGATTGAAATAACATTAATTTGTTGTTATTTATATTATGAATGGGAAAGTAAAAGAGTGGTATCAGAAGATATTTTTTGCTGCTATGAAGTCATTTGTCTCACTCAAAGTTATATAACTGCTGCATATTTTCATCACATTACCATCAGGAGTTTGAGTTTGAAGAACTAGTAGAATGAATATTAAATGAACAAACAGCACCGCCAGGAGTCTATTCGTTATTACAAGCGTAATAAAATGCTCATAGTAACTATGGTTACAGTGATTTGTTTCTTAAAGCTATCAAAAAGCTTAGGGCAGAATCATTCCTGAACAAATGGTGTTTCAATAATTTGCTTTCAGTTATCCAGTAGTCAGCTTAAAAAAAAAAACATTACATTTTGTATACAACGCATTGACTGCTACAGTTTATTTTCAAGTCGAAATACACTGAAACCATAACCAAGATAAGGCTTAGTAACTATTCGCATTACTAATGTTACTGTTTTTGAACAGCATAATACTGTTTGAGGATATAGCCTAATTCTACTTTGAAATACAGTAAAGTATTTGCTTTGGTATGTTTTCTTCTACAGTAATGTACACTATTTTAGTGTTTTAATTATACACAGTACAGTAAATACATTTGTAGTGTATAATCAATTGAAAAGTATTTGAAACAGTCCCTTTCAATACTTTGTATTCATGTTATAAATAAACAAAGGTCAAACAGATACTGATCTGCATGACAAGTAATACAAATTTAAATAAAAAATGATAATATCAGTGAAACATGCGTATAGTGAAACATTTGACCCTCACAGATGTGATCCGTATGAAATGTTTGCACTGAACTGTGTGTAGTTGCTAACAGGCTCTTTCACTTTTCCTCGCTGGGGGAGTGGTATCTCTTCAATCTTTCGAATGTCCCCTGTATGGTTGTTTACTCCATAACCTACAAGGAGTTTTTTTCTAAAGTGTATCAGCCTGAGCTTTAACTCGGCATGTGTTTCAGCAGATAAGATCAGAGTGGGGGGTGGGGGGAGGGGGGGTCAGCAGCAGTAGCCTGCTCTTTGGTCCCAGAGTTAATGTTTGGTGCTGGTAAATACTCCCACGTATCTGGCACTCAAACATATCTCTGGATACTGATGAGCATGGGCAGATTGGACACTTTTCACATTTTATTTTTATGAAATGATTTTTAAAGCTCTTAATCATGATTATTTTTTTGGACTGGAAATGCACAACGGAAGAGTACTTTGTGTAGGAGGTTGTTTTAAGCATAGTTTTGAATAAGGGCTGCACAAATGTATCAAAACTGAATATGCACTAGTGCCATATTCAGTGAAGAAACATTATATTTGCTAAAGGCTAAATGTGTGTTATAATACGATTTTGAAAGAAGTATATTGGCCAACAAAACATATTTGATTGGTACAGGTCTCTTCAAAATTACACCAAAATCATTTAAAGGTAGGGTAGGTAAGTTTGAGAAACCGGCTCGAGATACACTTTTTGTTGTATTCCATGGAATGCTCTTAACATCCCGATAGCAATGAATATCTTAAGTGCTTTGACAAAAAATCCATTAAAAAATGTCATCTGTGGAAGCCGTAGTACTGTAAAAAGCACGACCAATCATTTTAGCCGGCCCGGCTAAAATAACTGGATGGCCTACCTGCCTGTCAGCCTTCCATCTGTGCACAAACTTATCTCGTGCCCTCATTGGTCATGTGCGCGTTCGTGTGTGTTGGAGGAGGGGCTCTATAAGGAAGTGGCAGATTTTTTCCGGTTGTGTATTTTCAAATTCTAGCGATCTCGAGCCGGTTTCTCAAATTTACCTACCCTACCTTTAATACATTTTTTCTGATAATGACAATTATGATGCTAAAAACATCCACCTCTCCGTTATCGTGAATCATATCGCAATTGCATATCAGTCAAAATAATTTGTGCAGTCTTGTTTTAAACTGTGCCTTTATTTAAATTGTCATATTTGATTGTTTTCATATATTCTGCAAATACTTATAGAGCCTGTGCTGTGTGTGTCAGCTTCACGCTCCTGTCTGATCTCTCTCTGTTTTTCTCTTCTCTCCCTCAGATTAACGAGTTAAGTAACGTGCCTGTACCAGTAATGCTGATGCCAGATGACTTTAAAGCCTACAGTAAGATCAAAGTGGACAACCACCTATTTAACAAGTAGGTACATCACAGTTTATGAACTGTTAGCACTATTCGGTAGAGGCACAATCTGTAATCCACCTGAAAACAGAAAGGGTCAACCCCCCCCACCAGAGTTCAGAACACCTGCTGTCACTCCAACATGACTGACAGATGTTTCAATAAAGCAGTTTCCAACTACAGATTGAATCCTATCACAATACAAATCTAGGCTAGCTCTGAACGGCCTGATATACGCTCGATTCAGAATAAATGTCACCCTGCAGATTGTGACACAACCATCTTTGCACTACTGATAATCCTCATGGCTAGTGTCAGTGCAGGACTGGAGCAGGGTGGTGTTTTCCATAAGCCTGTCAGGCTGAGAATAGCATGAGATCATTTCAGAGCCGTGACCTGCCCAAGACACACCTGTGTAATAAGCATGCTGCTAAATAAGCAATGTGATATGACACAAAGACAACTTGGTGAAGTAGAAATGCTCACTTACATCTACAGTATAGTTGTGTAATGAAAAACTTGGTTTACAGGTTCCTAAACAATGCAATATAAATATATACAAGACAAAACAAAACAAAAAAACTATAAAACTAGTGCAAGCTCATGAGAATCTGATAATCTTGTAGCCAGTTTGAGTGATTCACCTACAGTTTAGCCTCATGTGGTTTGGTCTTTTTACACTATCTTGCATAACATGTCATCTAGCTGATGCTTTAATCCAAAGCGGTTAACATACACTCTTATACTATAGACATACACTCTTATGACATAGACATACACTCTTATACCATAGACATACACTCTTATGACATAGACATACACTCTTATACCATAGACATACACTCTTATACCATAGACATACACTCTTATACCATAGACATACACTCTTATACCATAGACATACACTCTTATACCATAGACATACACTCTTATACCATAGACATACACTCTTATACCATAGACATACACTCTTATACCATAGACATACACTCTTATACCATAGACATACACTCTTATACCATAGACATACACTCTTATACCATAGACATACACTCTTATGCCATAGACATACACTCTTATACCATACCATAGACATATACTCTTATACCATAGACATATACTCTTATACCATAGACATATACTCTTATACCATAGACATACACTCTTATACCATAGACATACACTCTTATACCATAGACATACACTCTTATACCATACCATAGACATATACTCTTATACCATAGACATATACTCTTATACCATAGACATATACTCTTATACCATAGACATATACTCTTATACCATAGACATACACTCTTATACCATAGACATACACTCTTATACCATAGACATACACTCTTATACCATAGACATACACTCTTATACCATAGACATACACTCTTATACCATACCATAGACATATACTCTTATACCATAGACATATACTCTTATACCATAGACATATACTCTTATACCATAGACATATACTCTTATACCATAGACATACACTCTTATACCATAGACATACACTCTTATACCATAGACATGCCTACAGGAGCGATATAGGGTTCAGTATGCCCAAAGAAGCTAATTTCATTTAATTTCAAACCTTTATTTAACCAGATTGGTCCCATTGAGATCATAGATCTCTTTTTCAAGGGAGACCTGCAGCATATAGGTTCCACATGAAACATAAAACAATAAAGGACATCATACATTATATTTACATTATAAGCTGACAGCTGCAGGGGGGTTGAACCACTGCCCCTCTGAGCCAAAAAGTATTGTGTTGCTTTGAGAACTTCCACATCTTAGTGCTACTAGCCAGACACAAACCACGCAACAATTACAATGCAACATTTGTTTTTTATTGCTAATATTTCAAACACAGATTGACAGAAATGACTAAAAGGATGTGGTTGACAGTGTCAGATTACAGCAGTGCAACACAAAATATAAGAACATACATTTACATAAGTAAAGTAAATAAATAAACAATTTAAGAGAATGGGGTCTTATTTGGGGATATCTGGGAAGGTTTCTCATGTTAGTATTAGACGTCTAACAATGCACATTTAATTTGAAATGTTTTGCTGCAATTCAAATGTATCTGTGTATTACATTTTGTCACAGTTTGTAGTGATATATGTTTTTGGTCTGGGATGTTGTTCACTAGTTTGCAATCACATGTCTCTTTCTATTGCACTACCTGAACAAATACACTCTATATGATGACTGCCAATAGGAATACAGGATGCCTGTGCTCACACAGGAAACATGTTTTGTTTGCTATACTGAATTAAAAAGAGGTGTTTTGATATTTGATGCACTTTAAGTGTTTGCATCCTGCACACCAGCAGCATCTCTTAAAGCTATAAATGTCTGATTGGTATTACTGTCTATGCAGGATTCACAGAATAGGAGAAATAAATCCAACACTCGGCAAGCAAATATTTGTCAATCATCACTCCTCCTCAGTTCCAGTAATGAATCCCTGAGCCCCTGTTTGTTGTTCTGACTGTGTGTCTCTTCCCCTTCAGAGAAAACCTGCCTAGTCGCTTTAAGTTCAAAGAGTACTGTCCCATGGTGTTCAGGAACCTGAGGGAGAGGTTCTGCATCGACGACCAGGACTACCAGGCAAGTCTCTCACGGACCAACTCTGATGGATCATTTCATCTCAGAGATCCTAAACCTGAAATCTGATTGATCTGTTACATTTTTGTACCCTGGAAATATCCCTAAAGGTCTCCATTAAAAGCAATAGATTCTTTTTGAGGATAATTATGGAAAGTATAGAAACTATGACAAAATTCTGGCGTAATAAACGCTTGTAATCAACGCTGAGTGGAGAAAAATAACTTATAGTCTCTGAATTAAAAAGGAAAATGTAGATTCATATTGAGGGAAAATCTGATTGTTATAAATGTTTTGGATCTTAACAATGTCTCTTTTTGTTGAGCTCTCTTTTATGCATTGTAAAATGTAATTGCATTTTTATTTGTTATTTGTATGCTTTATTGTCCCAGTCCTCACCTGTTCTATTTAAATAAAAAAGTGTAAAAAAGAATTATATATAACTAGATGTCTTTTTTTTGGCAGAACTCTTTGACGAGGAGCGCCCCGCTCAACAGCGACTCCCAGGGTCGCTTCGGCAACCGCTTCCTGTCCAGCTACGACCACCGCTTTGTCATCAAGACCGTGTCCAGTGAGGACATCGCCGAGATGCACAACATCCTAAAGAAATATCACCAGGTAGCAGCCCCTCTCACCACAAAGTATCTGTGATGTGGTTGAATATATGTATTCTTATTGCAGGAACACAGGAAAGAGATCTAAGAGCATCAGACTGTGAAAAGTATTCCTCATTATTCATTTGAAAGTCACGAATCCATGTAAATGATGCAAAAGTGTTGAATGTGACTGTAGAGCAGTGTCCAGTTTGAATCAGTTTTCATATTCCTCACTCCCACACTTTCCTCTCCACTCTCTGCCCCCCTCCCCTGATTGTGTGCAGTTTATCGTGGAGTGTCATGGCAACACGCTGCTCCCTCAGTTCCTGGGCATGTACCGGCTGACGGTGGACGGGGTGGAGAACTACATGGTGGTGACCCGGAATGTTTTCAGCCACCGCCTCACCGTACACCGCAAATACGACCTTAAGGTAGGTCTCACACACACACACACACACACACACACACACACACACACACACACACACACACACACACACACACACACACACACACACACTACAGCTACTGAACACTATTAGCACAGAGCTCTATCACATATTTTTATATTTATTATTGTTCAGGAACGTAGGTTCCCTGGCGTACATTCTTTTCTATGGACGAAAGCTCCAGTTAGATTCAGGGTCCATATTCGTTTAGTCTCGCTGATGAGGAATGTTGATTAAAACACTCCGAACTAGGTAAAACCTCGAACTACAGAAGAGTTCTTGAATTGGTTTGGCATCCGCTGTGTCACCTCCTGGCACACGACGCGTCTTGTGAATTCTCCGGCCGAAGCTCCAAATAAACCGTCAGTGTTTGCCATCAAAGTTCCAGCTCTCCCCGTGTCTCTCTGAGTCCTGTGTCCATTGCTTCAGAAGTTTCCATCACAACTTTTTCTGTCTTTTATTTAATTAAAACTTAAATATATATCAGAACACCTGCTGTCACTCCAACATGACTGACAGGTGTTTCAGTAAAGCGGTTTCCAGCTACAGATCGAATCCTATCACAATACAAATCTAAACTTGCTCTGAACGGCCTGATATACGCTCTTTTCAGATTAATTTTTTTCAATTGACCAGATTTATTGCCAGTCGCATCCTTAATTCAAAAGTTTGCAAAAGAATGTAAATCCAGCTCATTAATTCGGTGTTTGTTACCTCTCAGTTCCTCACCAGTACAACCAGTTAAGCCCCATGCCCCCGGTACCGGGGGCAAAACGCAACATCTTGGAAGAAACAGCGTCTGAGGGCTTCTTAACATTTAACAAACTATGTATGTGTCATACCCACTTAACGGGAAGAAACTCAACTATCAGACAATATTAACCATTTTTAGCTAAACGAAACACAAGGGTAATAACAAGCCTCTGAATTAGCCCTGAGCGAAAAGATGCTAACGCACTAAGCAACAGAACTCACGGTAGAAATACTTTATTACTTACTTACGGATCTGCACAAACAAGATATCAGTTTACACAGATTCTAGAAGTATTAGTATCATCACTGAGCGATCAAAACTCGTGGCAGGGGAAGCAAACCCACACAACACACAACGTAGCTTTACGGGACCAAAACGGAAAATAAGTCTTACCGTTGCTGTTTTCTGATCAAAAGTTGTGTTCAATGGCATTAAAACGCATAAAACGCTGCTGAAGGTTAATCCAATGTGTCTGTGTCACTTTGAAATGATTACTGAAAAAAACTGAGTTTTCATATATAGCTGCTATGATAGCTACGAGAGTGTATGACAGCTTCCGGTTTTGGGCATTCTGGCTTCGCATCACTCTATTCACCAATGGGTAATGTTTAGATGGATTTTAGGAACTTCCCCTCGATTCTATTGGCTCTAACGGTTAAAGAGAGGTGTCAATCATCAAAATCGACCGAGGGGGGCCAGAGATATGGAAAATCCACCCAAATGACCCCAGAAGTGGTTTCTTTTTTCTAAATCTCTCTATAAAGGTCAAATGTCACTTGTTTTGCATCAATCCTGATACAGGGTACTTATTATATGTTATAGTTTGGATTCCTAAAGCTTTTAGTCTACTATCCCATCATTCAAGGGTGGTTTTCACTATAAGTAATGTTTTTTTTGGACGGACACTATAATTTAAAATGTTTTTACTATGTTCAATCTGAATTTACTTTAAAATTAAAAAAATCTATATTGATTCTGACTTTTCTACATCCAACTCACAGGTTTATCATTAATTTGAGAAAAAAGATTATTAATTTACCCCTTTTAGAAGTGAAGAAATAGTCATTTGTTCTGGGAATGTCATTTTCGAGCCCGAGACCTTAAAAACAGGCTTGGGGCTTAACTGGTTAAAAAGCTCCTTCAAAGCCTAAGCCTCCTCTCCTGTATCCTCTGGAGAAAACCACCTTACCTTTTAAATATTGACAGTGAGAGAGCCGCTGTGTGTAATATGCTAACTATGCCTTTGATCTATCTTTAGCTGCTTTGAATTTATTCTATTTTCATTCTTATTTTCCCTCATTTTTCAGGGTTCTACGGTCTCAAGGGAAGCGAGCGACAAGGAGAAGGTACGTTTTATTTCTGTGCAGTGACAGCAGCTGATGGGACAAAAATAAACGCCCTTAGCTTACCCCAGAGGCAAACCTGCCAAATGACGGCTAAATTAAGCATGTTTAAGTATGCAGATGGATTCTAGTAGCAGCTTTTGCACTGGCCTCATATGATCAGTGTGTACTACTCAGTGGAGGAAGAAGTACTTAGATCCTTTACTTAAGTAGAAGTAGAAGTAGAAGTAGAAGTAGAATTAATATGGTATTAAAATACTCACTTACAAGTAAAAGTCCTGAGTTGAAAGTGTCACGTACAGAAGTATTTTCTGTCAAAAGTACTCCGTATGCACAATGGCTATTTTTTAAAGTGTTATTGAATATGAATATTTTGTAATCATCACTAAATTATACATGTCATATTTTTTATGCTGGAGTTTGTAAATGTGGAGCCAATTTTAGTTACCTTTTTTGTGTTCATTAAAGATTACACTCCTGCACCACATCACATGTTTTCATACATGAAAAAGTAGCTATAGTTACTATGAGTGTTAAATACAGTGCATCCGGAAAGTATTCATACCCCTTAACTTTTTTCACATTTTGTTATGTTACAGCCTTATTTCTAAATGGATTAAATTCATTTTGTTTCTGAATATTCCACACATGATACCCCATAATGACAAAGTGAAAACGTTTTTAAAGAATCTTTTGCAAACGTGTTAAAAATAATAAAATGAAATATCACATGTACATAAGTGTTCACACTAGGGCTGTACCCGAATATCCGAATATTCGTTCGTTGGTGTTCTATTCGGGTTTCAATTTCGTTATTCGGATATTCGTTTTTTCCCCGTTTTTCTTTCAAATTGAATTTATTGAAATCTCCAATATCAACGTAAGAGCTTGTGCCTCTTCGGGGGGTGTTAACACTTAACCATAAACGTTATAGTTTACTTTCTCCGTCTTTATATGTAGATATTACTTTTCTCCGTTAATAGAGTGGCGAAGTCACGCCCATCTACTTCCGCCCCATGGGACCTTATTTAGGAAAAATAATGTATTGAAGTCAATGGAGAGAGAAAACGTATCTTTCGATCCCGTTTGAATTGTGCCATGAATTACACATATGATGTTTGTCAATCTTAAAAAATCATTTCCATGTCAAAAAAGTCACAGTTTGTCGTAAAACTGTTGAAATATAAGACTATGAAAAATACGTAACTAGAAAGACTACAAATCCCAGAGTCGCGTAAGTGATGTCACAATTGTTTTCCTCCACTAAGAGATAGCTAAGATCAGCGCCATATAGATAGAATCTATCTATATGGCGCTGGCTAAGATAAGATAACTTTAACAAGATGCCTGTGTGCTTAGTACCAGGTTGTTATCACACCAGCAATGGGTCTTGCTCGTTCTTTCGCTTCCCGTCTGATGAAAGGACCAGGAGTGTCTTGATCAAGTTAGCTACCTAGCTAGTAGCTAGCACGTTAGTTAGCATTACAGCCTTGTCATTTTTATTAGCCTTAACATGAAGTAACATTAAGTAACCCAAAATGTTAAACAGTAAGAGTAGTAGTCATATTTCGTGAACCCTTTGAAGAGTACTGTCACCGGTGTGATCATTCTATAATATACACTTTAAGACCGGGGGAGAAATGCTAACGCTAGCATCTGCGATCTTTTGCACTTCATGCTATCTGCACAAATGGTTGAAATGAAAAAGACCAGGCAGTTCAGAGAGAATCAAAGGAAGGCAGGCAGGCAGCTTTGCATGACATTCTTCAGGACGTGTTTCATTGTGGTGATAGTGAGGATAGTCAATCGTTTTGTTGACAAGACAGTAGTGACGGCCATCTTGGTGACGTGTGTTGTTGTGCGAGTCTGCGAGACCAGAGATGTAGTTCATTGAGCGTTTCACACAAACAAATGTGTTACTTCACAGTTTTACGACACTTTTTTTTTTTTTTAACTTGCAAAATTATCTTTTAAATTGACAAACATCATATGTGTAATTCGTGGCACAATTCAAACGGGATCGAAAGATAATCTTTCTCTCTCCATTGACTTCAATACATAATTTTTCCGAAATAAGGTCCCATGGAGGTCCACCGGAAGGGGAGGGACTTCGTCACTCTATCTCCGTCACGTTGTTTCCAAAGCAACAACAACTTCCTGTCAACTGCGCTAACTCTCCTTCAAAATAAAAGCATGTCCATAAATAGGAAGCCAAGCCAAATTACACTTAAGACATATACAACTGCAACGAAAGTAACAAACACAATGCGATATCCTTTTCAATTTCAAAGAACACCATGGCACGGCAGTCCATCGCCATGATGGTGTCAAGGAAGCTGTCATCGCGTGCCCGCTTTCCTAAGGTGCAATAAGCAAGATACAAGATCAGTTTAATCGCAACAACGAGGCAACATTGTTCAACATTGGACATGGTGCAGGCAGGGACAGTGTACAACATGCAGGTGTAAAGTAGAAGATAAGATAGGATCAAATAATATCAAATAAAAAATAAATATCAAAGTGCCCTTATTTATTGTTTTGTGCTTAATGTATGCTTGAACTTTGTTTTAGTAGTTACAGTGTAAGTGGATTGACATCTAACATAACATGGCTGAGTACAATTATAACAATCAATAAAAAAAAAGGAAAAATAAATAGAATTTCAATTACATTTCTACTTAAATGTGCAAAAATATTAGAACATCAGTCTTTGTGGCATGCAGGTAATCAACTATTTAAGCTTTTACTATTAACATGTAGAATGAATGTTGCAAATGACTTGAAATTATAGCAACTACAATGTATTGTTAGAGGTAGCATTATGTCCAGCTAGCATGCTAATTGCTAACGTTATATTATCGTTTTATCCCGGAGGGGAAAACTAGTTTCTAATCCAGAGAGAAACACCTCGCCTGAAACACACGATTAGTGCCATGAGTTAGTGAAGCAAATTACAGAACATTGCACACTTATTCACAAGTCAAAACGTGTTCATAGCGGGCACGGCTGAGAATAGCTAGCTAGCTAGATGTTGTTAGCCAGCTTGGACCTATGATAGCAAGTTCTAGCATGGCTAGCTCGATATACTGAGCAAATAAAAGTACATCTAAGACCAGTATTGTGCAGATTAAAACAGTGCAGTGCATGTATTTTATTTTACCTTCGTAGTCGTCCCGACATGACTTTGCAAGGTCTGCTCACTTTGCCAGGTCTGCTAACTTTGCTGAGCCACGGAAACTGCATTCAGTAGAAGCTTCTGAATGCGGCCGACACATCCTCATCACTCCACCGCTCCGATGATTTATTTAGTGTTGCTATAATAACTGCTTTCACAAAAGTAATCTCTTCGGGTGCGCTGGCCGAAGCGAGCAAATACAATGGCCGCTTACAAAAAAAAATTCAGAGTCAAACGGGTGTGGTTTGCATTCCGCACAGCCAATCAGACGTACAAACTATTTTCTCCCACGACAGTCCCTGCTCTCTAGCAGGGACTGAAAAGCGGGTCAGATGAACTAATTTGAACTACTTTAGTTCCTGGGGCTTTTTGGTGTGAACGCAAATATATCGTAGTTCTGATGAACTATTGTGGGAAAAGTACACCAAAGTACTCCGGTGTGAACGCACCTTATGGTAGAATGGCCAGAAGGAAGCCACTCTTCAGCAAAAGGCACATGAAAGCCCCCATGGAGCACCTAGAGGACTCTCAGACCATGAGAAAAACAAATTGTCTGGTCTGATGAAACCAAAATGGATCTCTTTTGGCCTTAATGCCAAGCATCATGTCTGGAGGAAACCAGGCACCGCTCATCACCTGGCCAATACCATCCCTACAATGAAGCATGGTGGTGGTAGCTTCATGCTGTGGGGATGTTTTTCAGCGGCAGGAACTGGGAGACCAGTCAGGATCAAGGGAAAGATCAATGCAGCAATGTACAGAGAGATCCTTGATGAAAACCTGCTCCAGAGCGCTCTGGACCTCAGACTGGGGCAAAGGTTCACCTTTCAACAGGACAACGACCCTAAGCACACAGCCACGATAACAAAGGAGTGGCTTTGGGACAAGTCTGTGAATTTCATTTCATTTCATTTCAAACCTTTATTTAACCAGATTGGTCCCATTGAGATCATAGATCTCTTTTTCAAGGGAGACCTGCAGCATATAGGTTCCACATGAAACATAAAACAATAAAGGACATCATACATTATATTTACAGGATACATTTACATAGTTATAGACATTTACAAGTACCCATAGTATCAACGAGCATTTCATTTAGCCTAGCTTTAAAAACATGCAGAGGAATGAGATTGCTCAGTTTCAATTCTTGCTGAAGATTGTTCCAAGCAAGTGGAGCTGCGCACATAAAAGCTGTCTTACCTAAGACAGTCCTTGCTCTTGGCACATCTAACAATACTACATCATGCGATCTCAGACAATAGCTGCTTGCAACTCTCTGTGTTATCAGAGAGCAGATATAATACGGGAGTTTACCCAACAAAGCTTTATAAATAAACGTGTACCAATGACTGAGCCTCCGTACAGTTGTACAATGTCCTTGATTGGCCCAGCCAGAGCCCAGACTTGATCCCGATTGAACATCTCTGGAGAGATCTGAAAATGGCTGTGCACCCGACGCTCCCCATCCAACCTGATGGAGCTTGAGACGATCTGCAAAGAATGATGGGAGAAACTGCCCAAATATAGGTGTGCCAAGCTTGTAGCATCATACTCAAGAAGACTTGAGGCTGTAATTGCTGCCAAAGGTGCTTCAACAAAGTATTGAGTAAAGGGTATGAATACTTATGTACATGTGATATTTGAGTGTTTTATTTTTAATTCATTTGCAAAAATTATTTTTAAACTTTTTTCACTTTGTCATTATGGGGTATTGTGTCTAGAATGTTGAGAAAACAAATACATTTAATCAATTTTGAAATATGGCTGTAACATAACAAAATGTGGAAAAAAAATATTCCAGATGCACTGTATATGTAGAGGAGAAAAAAGTACATTTAACTCCAAAGTGTAGTCGACTCAATGTATATTTAGCATGCAATTGAAATACTTGAGTATAGTACAAGTGTGTCAACAAAGTACTTCAGTAAATACTTGAGTAAATGTACTGTTACATTGCACCACTGGTAAAACTGATCCATTTTATTTTATAAAACATAAAAACTTAATTTATTAACATCTTACAATATTTCTATATACACACACAAAAAAAATGTCCATCACTTTTAGAAGTGCCATTTTCCATTATAATTTGCTTCCAATCTAGCTGCAGTAAAATTACAAATAAACTCAATAAATGCACGATTAAAACCAAGATGAAAATCATCATTATTTTTGATGAATATTGAGCGTGTAATGAAAATGTTTCATGGCTATAGGTGACAAAATATTTGTATTGCACTTTCACATTTAAATACACAGAGCCCTGCTTTCACATCAATGTGAAAGTTCTGCTAACATACCAATTATGGCTGCACTATATTAAGGAAAAGTGGGACCTCTAATCATCCTCTGTACTGCTACTGTTTAATACCCAAACACCTCCCCTCTCTCCAGGCTAAAGAACTCCCCACTTTTAAAGACAACGACTTCCTGAATGAAGGCCAGAAGCTGCAGATAGGAGACGACGACAACAAGAAGTACTTTTTGGAGAAGCTAAAACGGGACGTGGAGGTAAGAAACATCACAAAAGTGTTTTATCTAGTCTGCTGTAGAACTGATCCGCTTCACAGCAACTCAGAATCTGATTGACAGTGTGATTATTTTTATTTCAGTGAAATCATACTGCAGTTATACATAGTTCTGTTATACATTTTTAAAAGCTCTGTTTAAAAAATCTGACTATATTGGGGTTTGACCATTTGGAAGAAATAACTACTTGTGATTATTTGCCCGATACAATATTGAAGGGATTGATCATGTTGCATTATTATTCCCTTTATCATTGAGGATAAATTGAAAATGATCATTGTGTGATTTTCTGTACCAAACAAAGATATATTATTAAATCCATAGGAAAATATTCGTAGGCCAGGGCATCTATGCAGCATTACATTCAGAATAATAACAATATAAAACATATTTTGCCTTTAGGAAAAATTGCACCTCCTACTGTTTAAATAATGCATTAACCCATATTGTGGTTTTGATCACATTTAAATGAATTGTGCAGACCTATGAGGTTTCACACTTTAAAGCCCGATGAATTATATATTTAAGCACTTAGGGCTAAAAAAGCTACAAACACAACATTGATATATTATCACCTTTTTATAAGTTTGCGTGGCTAACTGTTGGCAAGCAGTTGCTGGTTTACACATCCAGCTAACCAAAATATTTGGTTAAATAAAAAAATGTTGTGAGTTTGGAAATTATTACATCTCTCTTTTTTTCAATAAATGTTGACATTTGGACTTCATCGCCCTACTCTGGAGTTTTTGGAAATGTTAGTATCAAAATTGTAGGAAAAAATCCTAAGCAGCCACCGCTGTCATCTGCAAAATAGTATGATAGAATTCATATGATTAAAGCAGCTGTAGGCAGTCCAAAAAAAGAAACACTGTGACGCTCAAGAATAATATACATACATGCAAAAATACAATTGTAGCAGTAACCTATTATAAATGATTGCTTTTGAGTGTGAGTGCCGTCATGGGAAATATCTCTCCCCAATGCCAAGAAAAAGTGAACAGGTAAAACCACTAACATCACCGCCTGAGCTCCAGTGAAAAAGAGTGAAAAAAGATGTCATATTAAACAGAGAAAATACAGAGAACTTACATGTGGCTCCTACAATAAGTGTAGCCAAAGTTTTTACAGGCTTTAAACAAATTGAATAGACGTGCAAGAAAGAAAAAAACATGCTGCATTTGAAAGTCAATTTTTGAATTGAGCTTCAAACTATTCGGTTCAGCCCTAATTTATTCTGCTATTTGGGGGTTTCCCTTTCCTGTAGTGTGTTCTATAGGTTTCTGTGCATGTAAATGGTCTGCAAAGGCTAAATCCCAGAGTTCCCTCCAGAGGGAGCTTTTGCACGGTTAAGGGGCGAGACATTTCCAACACATTTGTAAGCGGTTGACCAATCACAACAGAGCCAGCCAGCTAACCAATCAGAGCAGACTGGGCTCTGGTTTCAGACAGAGGGTGAAAAGAGGTGCTGCAGCACAGGCAGTATGAGAGAAATAAAGAGCTTTTTGAACATTAAAGCATGGAGACATGTCACAGTAGAGGCAAAAAATACAAATATGAACCTAAAAATAAGCATAATATGTCCCCAAAAAATAATTCAGACCTGTATGACCACGGAGGGCAGATGTGTAAACGAGGCATTACATGGAGTGTTTTCTGTGTATGTGTGTCTCAGTTCCTGGCCACCCTAAAGATCATGGACTACAGTCTCCTGGTGGGGATCCATGACGTGGACCGGGCCGAGCAGGAGGAGATGGACGTGGAGGGCGTGGGGGAGGAGGAGGAGTACGAGAACGACGGGATGGGCGGAGGCGTGCTCACCGGCTCCTTCGGCACGCCCCCCGACAGCCCCGGGAACCCTCTGAACTGCGGGGGGTTCTTCGGCCCCGGGGAGTTCGACCCCTCTGTGGACGTTTACGCAATCAAGAGCCACGACTGTGAGGATCATGTTTGACATTTATCTCGTTAAGAAGGAAGAAACAATGATAGAAGTAGGAAGAATAACTCCAGTCTATGTCTATCGAGCAGATTAACAGATGAAGCTGCGGTCCTCATACAATAGTGTTAGAAAATGTGTGAAATAAAGCCTGGGCTTTTGTTATTCTCAGGTGAGAGTAAAACCCTGTGATGTGTTGTTGTAGGTGCTGTGAAGAAGGAAGTATACTTCATGGCTATCATCGACATCCTCACGCACTATGACGCTAAGAAAAAAGCTGCACATGCTGCCAAAACTGTGAAACACGGGGTGAGTACAGAGACTCCATCACCATCCAGCAGTATGGAAATTAAGTTTTGAGTAATTTTATCTTTATTTAATCATTATTATCACTCAATTCAATAATACAGTATTACCATAATTCTGTTTTATGTATAGTCTGTTTTTTTTCTCACTTTTAATTACATTATACATTTTCACCTGACTGCTACAACAACTTGTAGCCATTCACATGCGACTTCAGTTGCTCCCCAAAATGTTGTTATACAATTCAAACAAATCAATAGGACATTATGATTACTTTATTATTTGTTTGAACATAACATTTAAATGAAGTATCAATTAGAATAACTCTTTTAAATCATTATTATAACTCAATTTGAAATATTTTAAAATGTTTTCATCATTCTTTTCTATTTTATTACATAACAAAAGTGTTTAATTGGAGTATTTATATATATGTTTTCATAAGTATGTTTTTTTATTTCATTAATTCACTTTTAATGAACTTTTAGCCAATCACATGTGCTCCCAGTTAGCATGTGAGCTACATACAGGTAGCTACAGCAACCAAACAGAGACAATTAACCCAGTGGTTAGTTTCTCTAAAGGACATCTTTAAAAGCATAATGCTACAGAAGTAAGCCTTAACTTCAGCTAGTCGCTAATGCTAACACTGGCTACTCACTTTAATGCTGAGTAATACATCCCAGCTCACATCCTAGCTAGCTAGCTAGCTAGCTAGCTAGTTAGCTTGGGAGTGAGGTTATCATTGTTAAGCTTATTAAAAGAGGAAGCTACCTAATGTATTGTACCTAATTGTAGTTATTTACAGCAGCAGGAGCTAGTTGGTTAATTTAGAATAACCTTAATATAATTGATGCTTTACTGAGCTTGCTCAAATAGACGGGGAGCATGTGATTGACTGAAATGTGAGGCAAAAATTACATTAAAAAATAATCTAAATTTAATAAAAAATAATCAAGTTGTATTATTTAATATTTGTATTATCATGTCACAAGGCCCATGGAAATGTTCTCCATGCCACAAAAACGAATGAAATGTATTAAAGGGATAGTTTGGATGTTGGGTTAGTGGGGCTGTATGAGCTTATCCTAGCAGTGAATACAGTAGATGGCATACACCTAGCACAGAAGCTAATTACCACTGTGGACATGTGAAGCAACACACATATTCTATCCACCTGTAAAAAATACATTTTAGTGAATGTTGTGTTCAGAATATTTTCATCACTTCACTTTGCTGTCAGACATTTCTTTCTAACGTGGAACTAAAGTCTATGCTCTCTGTAATGCCACCAGACCACATTGCCAAAAACACACATTTTTACTTCAACGCAAAAGAGAGTTGTTTAGTCTATCGTTGCAGAAAGTATGTGTTATCGGCCCCACAATAACTCAAACCGCAGCTGAAGAAGAGCAACTCCTGCCTTCTTCGAGTTAGAATGACTATTTTTGTCAATGGAGTTTGGTATGGAAAAGAGCATAAATATATAACCTCATAGAACCCCCACCCAACGTCCATACTATTATTTTTTTATTTAGTATTGCTCCATCTATCTGATTTTCTGCCTTATTTATCTATGTCTGTCTGTCAGGCGGGGGCAGAGATCTCGACGGTGAACCCGGAGCAGTACTCCAAACGATTCTACGAGTTCATGTCCAACATCTTATCATAGACTCATCTCCCAGTCCAGCCAGTCACTTCCTGTCATAGATCTGTCAAAAGCCACGCACTATTTCCCTTCTCCTTCACCTCAGTGTAGGATCCTTCTCCCCTCTGCCTCTCTACGCCCCATAACAGAGAAAAAAACTACCAGCATCCTCCCACAGCCAGCAGCAGTCTGGAAGGAAAGGATGCACTGAGCCTGTTACATTTTCACACACACCTCCCTCGTCCTCTGCAAGGAAAACTCGTGAAACCGCTCGCTGAATTCGGAAACAACTTCCCGATAATCTCCCTGTTCTTTTAAAAAAATGTCTGCTCCTCGTTACTCCTCACGCCAGCACGGAAACTGTCTCACTAATGCCTTGAACGAGTGTGTCAGCTTCAGCAGTTCAGTAACACAGTCCGTTAGTACAGTCTCTTTGATTTCATGTTGTTGTTGTTGTTGTTGTTCTTATGATTTCTTTTAGACACACAAACACACACAGATGTAAAGAACTTGCACAGAGCTGAATGGTCAGATTGCATGACTCTTTTGACAGTCGCCATGAGGCTTCTCTCTCAGTAACAACAAAGTAACTGAAATGACTGCTGACAACAGGAGATAAACACATTAATATATAATGGTGTATTAAGTAAATTAATGCAATATCAAAAATGCATGGCTGATGTGTACATGAGTCTCCACCAGTAAGTTGAAACATCAAACCACTGAACTTAGCATCTGAGTGTTATGACGAAAATAACAAAAAACCTGAAAAAAAAACATTGGTGTTTGAATGTTACGTTGCCATATTGTTTTTGAATATTTTGAAATTTGAACCGTGAGCTTGGTGGAGGTTGGTCTAAGAAAAAAATCTCACATAAAAAGGGGAGTTCTGCAGCACATACTTGTTTTATTACCATAAGGATCATTTTTATATCTTGTTTACATTAATGTAGCAATTTTGTGTTTGTATACAGTATTGTTTTGTTACCAACAGACATTTGAAAAAAAAGTTACTTGAAAATGATCATTGCATATTAAAGGGAGTTTTATCTTGTTTGTGTTGTTGGGCTATTCTTTTTTCTTCTTCAGAGACTTTCCCACAGTGCTTACTATCTCCATGGCAACCACCATATTACATCTACAAAGGAAGATTAAGGATGCTGAGGAAAACTTCAGACAAAGCTAGTACTTGATTTTGTCAAATAACAGTGCTATCATGTCATGAATCAATAATATTCCACTAAACGGAGAATAGGGTAATTGTGGCAGGTGAGAATCACCTAAATTATATATTGCACTGAGACTTCGCAAACATTTTTTGTTTTTAAATAACCGAACCAGCAGAGACCAAAAAAAAATGCTGACTTTTATCCAGGCATGGGGGTCAAACAAAAAAAATCCGTATTCCTACACTTCACACACCGCAACATGTAGTGGTGGAAAAGTACTCAGATCCTCAACATAACGAATACCACAAAAAGTACTAATACAAGAGTGAAGACATACTCCATCACAAGTCAAAGTCCTGAGTTCAAAATGTTACTAAAGATACATTACATGACACTTGTTAGTCGCTTTTATCCAAAGCGACTTACATACTCAATACTGTGGGCAATCCCCACAGGAGCAATTTGGGGTGAAGTGTCTTGCCCAGGGACACCACGACATGCTGACTGCAGTGGGGTTTGAACCTGTGACCGAACACCAAGGCACAACCCACTGCACCACACGCCTCCCCAGTTAAGTATCAATTGTGCAGAATGCCTCATGTGTTGTATTCCATAATGTCTGTTTTTTTCATTAGAAACATTTTTTTTCAATTAAATAGCTTTATTAGCATGACCATACATTATTGCTAAATCTATAGAGGCAACATCTATACACAAATGCATACATATAAACAAACTGCTCAATTTTTAACATAAGCAAGAGCATGGTTCTTGTGTTTTTTAATGTTGAAATTTGTCAATGTGGAGCAATTTTTGGAAAACACAGTAAATATTATAAACATGTCAAAAGTATAAAAAGTGTCCAAGAAATAGTGGAATAAAAGTACACTTTTTCTGTCTGAAATGTAGTGGAGTAGAAGCATAAAGTAGCAGGGACCGGAAATACTTAACTACAAGTACCCCCTAAATTATACATAAGTACATTACTGAAGTAAATGTAGTTCATTAAATTACACCACTGGCAACTTGGTAGCTTATTTTTGAAAAACCAAATCATTTTAAGCCTCTGCATGGTTGGTGGGTGTTCAGAATACAAATTTGGACAACAAATAAAATGGCAGATCATAGTGTATTACATTTTTTCTACACGGTAATGTTTCTTAAGTGTCATCAGTCTTGGCCGGTTTGAGACATGCTGGAAAAAAGCAGCCGTATAGACAATAACGAAAGGTTATAACTATATTTTCCATGGTCAACCCTGCCTGTGTCTTTAATGTGAACTTGTTAATCCTGGTTATACAAAAATGCAACAAAAATTAAGTATTGCCGACGTAGTGAAAGTTCTTCCACCAATAACTTCAGTCATGTCAGTAGTTTAAACATGTTTATTTTTTGAAGAAAAGAAAAAGACAGAACAAGCATTGTTTATTATTTTTATACAAAACGTGTGTGTTGGTGAAGTGTGGGGAGAAACAGAAACTCTAGTCCATCCTGGCTTTCAGGGTTCGTGTGGTGATCTTGTCCTTCTCACTGCCAGAGAAAAGAAAAGGCTGTCAATCACTGCAAACCTGTCAATCAACATCAAACCATCTCTGAACCGTCTCTGTACTTACATGACATGGACGACCACTCCCATTCCAGACACGGCATCTCTGTCCACCGCGTTCAGCATGGCCTGGGAGATGGTCTCAAACAGATCCTCTGGTTCCTGCACACACAACTCATTTCTCAAATAAAGCACTCAAGATTAGGGATGGGTATCGTTAAGGTTTTAACGGTACTACTACTTTTATCGATACCGCTTATCGGTCCGGTCTTTTAACGGTACTCTTATCGGTTCTTTTGGAGAAAAAAACAAGGTAAACTAATTGTGAACAAAATTAACATTGCTTAATATTTCACATCAAAAGAAACAACAATGTTTTAACAAATGGTATTAAATAATCTGATGACAGAACTGTAAACAGAATAGCTGAAACTTTAACAAAATAACTAACTCAGTTCCCTCTAATCATTAACCCATGTTTGTATCATTGAGTTAACTCCGTGTGTTGCTGCTAGCATACATAAAACCTGACGTGGAAAAGTTACTCGTGGATGGGGCTACAGAGCTACTAGAAAGACATTCGAACCCGGTGCATTTCTCCGTCTGAATGTGGAGCACTTTTGCTAAATGTTTCGACAAATTGCTCGTGTTAGCGCCCTTACATGCTAAACTCTTATTGCACTTTTGGTAACGAGCATTGTCCACATGGAGACGGGTAAAGTTTAACCACACCTCGGAGCGCGTTCTCTCCGCCATCTCCTCCGTGTGTGTGTTGCTGCATGTAGCAGCTGCGTGTGTGTAAACTGCCCCGTCCCCTCGCACACAGGCGGGGGAGAGAGATCTCTCGTCTGGATTGGAAAGATCGAAAATACTAAAAATAATCATAGACGCATTTTGCAGTCTTTTTGCATATTAGAAACGGAGTTGGCGACACTAAAACTGCAATATAATGTTTGTGTAGCATAAGATATGACATATTTTTTACATGTCTCCAGTAGGCCTACCGATAAAAAGACAGATAACGTCGGACCTTAACGGTACCACGGTCTTTAATAATTCAGCCCAGGGGCCCGTTTAATACCGGGGCTCGGTACCCATCCCTACTCAAGATATTTAAATTCAAAACAAATGTGTGGCAAGGATTGAACACCAGGCAGACCGAGTCCTGAACAATAGGAAGGCTCTTCAAATTACTATGTTACAAATGGCATGAACAGAAAATAGATTTATATCCCAGTTAACAAAAGTGGTAAATGAATATTTCTCAAAAGTTGAACACTGTATTGAGTCCGTCAGCTGTCAAATGTGCAATATATTTCTGTGATATTTTAATCTCTGCTCCACTCATACCACATGTGGAAGGTAATGGAAACATTTGAATGCATAAAAATGCCCACGCTAAAGTTCCTAATTACCATAATCAGAAGGAAACAAATAAAGGTAAATAATAGAAACAATAGAAATTGAATTATATATAATAATTTAATGTAATGTTTATAAAGTTATTATATTTTATAGTAATATAAACACAAGTTAAAGTAAAAAATAATAATCAATATGCAATAAAATTAAGATATTTATGTAAAAATGATGTTAAGAGTAAAATGTCCAATAAAATAAGAATATTAACATAACCATAGGCAGTTACAGTAATATGTGTACATTGTACTTCTCTACAATATATACATTGATCATGAAGGAAACATAAATGACTTCCAAGTAACCTACAGGGTTCTTACACCTTTTCCAAAGTCAAATTCAAGCACTTTTCAAGCATTTTCAAGGTGCATTTTCAAGCTTTTCAAGCATCTTACAGCTGTTGTAAATTACATATTTATATACACATACTTATACTCAAATGATTATTTCCCTACCTCACATTAAATCAGATGTTCTTTATGCTATAAACAACCAAATGTGTGTTTCATAATAGCATTCTACATGAGGATGAAAAATTAAAAATGTTAGAAAAGAAAACTAAGTTTAATATTTCAAAATGAGACCCATCTGTACGTAGACTGGGCATCCCATATAACCTGGCTGAGCCAATATAAAACAATCAGCCAAATAACTTTTCAATATATTATTGATTACTATTTTTGAGGTACTTTTAGGTTGGCAGTAAACACAAGTCAGAGGTAAATGGTGTACTTTGACTCTACTACATGTATTTAATCCCTTTAGTTACTTTACAGATGTGGATGAATGATGTGAAATATAATCAAGTGTTAAATCAGACTTTAGTTCCACCTGGAGTAAATTCACAAGCTACTCTGTAGTATACAAAGTCATTCAAACTAGCTGCACCTTTACCAGCTTTGATAACACTTTCATGATCAATCATTATAAAACATATATACAATTATTAGGGATGCTCCGATCGCCAATTTTGGGGCCGATCGCCGGAATCAGTATCAGCCGATACCGCTCTCTTTTCCTCTCTCCCCCTCTCTCTCTCTCCTGACAGCCCGTCAGTATCTCCTGCAGCTCACTGATCCAGTAATGAGCGACCCGACAGTGAAGAATAAATATATTTATAACTAGTTTAGCTTGTTCCAGAGGTAGATCAAATAGCTAAGTGTGTTAGGTCTAACTCTTAATGTGTGTTCTGCTCCGCTCACCGGTCCGTCACAGCGGGTGGAGCTGCAGGATTTCTGCTTCACACACACGTTGCATACCGCTATTTTATTGTCATTTTCGGACACTTAAAATACTGCCAGACTAGTGAAGCCATTTTGGCGAGCTTGTTTTGCCGCGCACAGAGAAAAGTGTCATGTATTTTACATGCAACGATAGCCTAATCTAAAATGTTCTACGACAGCGTACCTTTCGTGTGGTGTGTGGCTCGTCAGCGCAGACTCTCGCATCGTTATAGGAGGCTACTCTTGGGCTTCGCTTGACCCTCGTCTTAGCCATGGCTTGTATTTGTCTTCTGCTAGCCAACGCTCGTTGAAACGGCAACCTCCTGGCATACTGTCATCTATCACTCTCATCAGAATGCCCAGGTCACACACGTAACAAAAACACTTGCCGGTCACGCGCATTGCGCGGGAAGGCCGGAGCGGAGCTGTTTTATGTAAAAGCGAAGCAATTAAGCGCGCTCCGACTTCTTTATTTTCTTTTAATCTAAAAAGCGAAGTAAAGCATTTACAATTTCAAGCACTTTATCCCAAATTCCATTTCAAGCACTTTTCAAACCTTGAAAACACCTTGTACAATTTCAAGCATTTTCAAGGATTTCCAGCACCCGTACGCACCCTGAACCTACACTTAAGGTGACTTCACACACTACTCACCATGTCTGGCTCCCACAAAGATTCACACATGCCGTACATCTGCTCGGAGCAGGTGCCGCTCACAACAAAGTCTTCTGTCACCATGGGGCAGCCAATCAGATCCAAGGAGCAGATGAATGGTTCGGAGGTTTTTGGATCTATTCCGGCGATCACAGGCTCGATGTAGTATGGCCCAAACCTGATGAGAGCATGACATATTTACCATTTATGCAGGTATTTGTGCCTACTGTATGCAGCTTAAATGTGGACATGGGTCTATATTAAGTTCAGTGCACTCACCTCTTCTCGTACAACAGGTTGGACACCATGCTCATGAAGGTCTTGGGCTTGATCTGGCGACCCTCCTTCAGCTCGTACAGGTTCAGTCTGAATTTAAGCCTCTGGGATCTACACACAAGGCAACGACGTCCATCAATCCTCAGATATTTACATTGAATTCAGTAATCACAAATCTAACTTCAGTGTTTCCCCTATATACAAATAGTGGCGGTGCAGCGTCGCTGCTGAAATATGCGTGCCGCTGCTAGGGGGCGCCAGCCAGGTACCCAAAAAAAATAAAAATAATTTATTTTTACTTTTTATTTTTTTATTAAAAATAATAATAGGCGACCCTTTTCCATTTTTGATTGTTTGTTATGTGGATTTGTAGTATTTGTGTTACTGTATGTTCAATAAAGGTGTATTTTTGCTCAATCTTGAGACATTGGCACTGTATGTACTAGGCAGGGCCGATTTTTGGCATAGGCGACATAGGCGGTCGCCTAGGGCGCCAGATCTGGGGGGCGCCAGATCTGGCTGTCGCCTAGGGCGCCAGATCTGGGGGGCGCCAGATCTGGGGGGCGCTGCGCTGGTAGCCCTGGGAGGGGAAAAAACATTTTTGACCGTTGGCGCTCATCCTAATTTTCGGCCTTGATGTAACAACATTCATAATTAAGTAAATGTAACACCCTTTTCACCCCGGTTACACTTTTCATTTGCCCTGTACGATGGGCGCTGTAAGTGATGAAAGTGGGGGATATTGGCTAATCAGGCACCCGCAGCTCACAGTCAAAGTGCGAGCGTGGGAGCGAGAGAGGGAGAGAGCGCACCGGTACCGGCGCTGTTGTTATTAGAATCTGGTGCTAGCTGCGCTAACGGATATAAGAAGTAGATGTTTCTACAACCAGGGTGGAGGAGAGCTCTCCTCTCAGACTGAGAGGCTCAGTGACGTAAAGGACTCTCTGAGTGTTTAGATAGTTCATTTTAGTCTAAGTTATCTCAGTGGGTCTCAAACGTTTTGACCACAAATTATGTATACACATATTTCCAAGGCACTCCTTTATAATTATTAGGATAAATAAAAACAGGTTTGAAATCATTCCAATGTATACTATAGGACAGTAAACCAAACATATCGTTTAAAGTTGGAGAGATACAAAAATATGCATAAATAAATGTTAACTAGGTAAAATAAGATATGAATGAACAACAAAAATAAAATAGTTACATTTATTTGTTATTGGCTATGGTAGGCTATTGGTTATGTTCATATACTTATTTGATTATTAAAATGTAAACCGATCTTTTTCATATGGGTGTTTTAGAGTTGTACCCCCTAGATCAGGTCTCTAGTAATTGTGTGCTCAAAGTGCACCAGATTGAAGCATTTTACTTTATGTGAAAAAAAAACTTCCCGGGGGGGGCATACCCCCGGACCCCCCTAGAGCAGGGGTTCCCAAGCTTTTTTCAACCAAGAGCCCCCCCAAATGACTCCTGTTGGAAGTTGCGCCCCCCACATACACACACAAGGGGGGGGGGGGGGGGGGAGAGACTTTTAAACTTTTAAAGTTTAAAAGTCTCAAAAATGCTACAACTACTGTCACAAACTGGATGAATGTGAAGTATGTTGTTAAAGGAGGATGAAAGCGTAATTAAGGAGCACTATTGGAGTGACTTTGATGGTTATTGGACTCAGGATTAATTCATTTGGATTCCCGCTGTATGAAGAAATTAAAGGACGGCGCAAGTGGAAACAATTCACAAAGGGATTAAACTGTTTAAAACACATGCTCAAAGGAAGCCGGATTTTGCCGATGTGTTTATGTGGATTCAAAAGTCGTAAATAATCTACAAAATGGAGGAGACCGATCTGATCGGAGCAACTGTGACAAATAATCTGAAACCGGCATGGACAATGACTATGTTTTAAAAATGCGCTTATCCAGAAAAGCCTGGTTTGGACACTTTACGGGCAGAAGAAACATTTCTATTAAAGAAAGAATTATACATTTCTGTCTTTTTATGTCTGTAATAGCTACTAACTTGAATTTTTATTCAAATTAATTAATCAATTATTTTTTATATTTTATTGTAATGTAGAGACAAGGCTTTTAGTGACAATCATGTATTGCGTTACAATTATATGTAAAAGAAAAAGTGTAAATATGAAATTTGGCCTCAAATCATCTGAGGCCTGACGCCCCCCAGGTTGGGAACCACTGCCCTAGAGGATGTGACGTCCACCCCCCAATTCAAACATGTTCATACAATACTGAATACATTTGAAGCCATTTTGACGTCTATTACCTATGTCAATAAGTTTCTGTTTTTGTAGTGTATTTGTCTTTTGTAGAGATTTTTCATTTATTCTTTATATATAAAATCTCGCCTAGGGCAGCAAATTGGCTAGAACCGGCCCTGGTACTAGGCCTCAAGAGCCTTTCTTGTGCTGGCAGACACATAGAAACAAATTGGCGGGGCGCACTTCGCACGTGCACACACTAAAAAATTCCACGCGCTCCGCGCTCACATTATGCTTGGCCCACGTGCCTTTGCACCGCTGCTATAACTCCATCCTAGGGGAAACACTGAACTTATTTCAAAGCTATGGATAGCAGAATTTCTAATAAAATGTTCTCCCCTATTTATTAGAATGAATAGTAATACTATTCAACTACAACACTTTTGTTATTGGTATAAACATTATAGGTGTAGTATTGTACTTGACACTTAGTCTAGATCTGAGAGTTGTAGCTTTATAGAGTTTGAAATCAATCCTGTCATCATAGTACCCTGGTGTTCACAACTGTTTAGCCACTTTGAGAGAACAAGGTGGAGGTCTACACACTCACACTGTCTGAACATCAGTGGCCAGTCCTGCCAGCCCGATGTACAGCTTATCTCCCATGGGGAAGATCTTCTGGAAGTCTGTGGTGACCATCTGAGCCTGGATGCCAAACCTCCGGTCCGCTGCTATCGCCACACAGTTCTTCCCTCGCATGGCCATGACGGCCCCTCCGTTATAGGACATAATAGACTGGATGAAGAAGGAGAAACGTAAGAAGAGTTAAGTTAGTCAGAGCTTAAACCATTGATAGATCAAACAACTGATTAAAGAGACAAATCAAACTATTTAAACATAAAGCTAATTTTTAAGCACATTCATTGAAATTAAAATTAAGTTTAAGTTGAGGCCCTTTTATACAGCATAATATGTAAAGAATATCCTAAGAATATGTATTATTTTCAACATGCAAATAAGATACTGAATAATGTTGGCCTCAAAATAAATGACTGAAATCTATGTATTTCATTTAAGGACCAAAAACATGACTCGGGGTTATTTCCAACCACCCAAATGTGTAAACATGGAGCATAACGTTAATCTAAAATAATTTCAACGATCAAAAGAAATAAAAGTAAGATAAAATAAAAAGTGTAGTTGTAGAACATTATTATTGAACCAAAGTCTTTATTATCCCGCGTTATACATGTTTAAATGTAATGATGTATAGTGAAACCTCGTTGCTGGGTTGTTGAAGTTGTTGCAGTTTTCTGCTGTCAGTGGACTCACATTAACAAATTGCTGACTAGCTTAGTAGGTTGAAGCTTTAGCTAACCAAACTAGCAATGTCTAATTAACCAAACGTTAGCTGATGTTGACCCAAACGCAACATCAGCCCTTTAAGTTAACCGGAGTTATTGAATCATAATGCCATTAAAGTGAATTCGGGGAATGATTGTAACAGTTAAGTTAGCCTACAAGACACAACGTTAGCTCGTGTGCAGCTAGGTAAGCTAAGTATTTAGCATTGCAGATATGCCCCGGCTACCATCACAATGAAATGTTTTGTATAATTAACAACAACATTGAATATATTGAAACGTTTAGAGTTGTGAGATTGAAGTTACTTGCAATCACAAACTTAAAATATGTTTTCATAGAATATTTGCTAACTTTAAGAAGGATGTAGAAGTCTATAAGCTAGCTGGCTACCAACATTAGCTTAGCCATCTCTTGTAACTGTTACCCTTAAATACTAGTTACATTTGACCATTTACCTAAAAACACATTGACATGTTTGGTACTCTTACCATTGTGAGTGTGTTGTGGTTTATTCCTAGTAGCTAGAACTTGCAAACTCCACTTTTTCTTGGCTATTGTGAATTACTGCTCTTCAGTTTCCCACAGTGACTACACGATTTAGAAACAGAGGGATCAGCCTTACATGATTCTAATACGCCATCACTTGCGCAACGATCATTGGCTGGTTGAACGTCACTCTGTGCTAAACGCTGCTATCATTGGAGGATATGGGCACTGGGCGAAATGTGCTTGTATAGTTTGTTTGAGGCGTGTTAAAGTGAAATTAAAACCGGGAGGTTTCTGTCAGTTTTTTTTAGATGCATTTAAAAACTGAATTTAGTGTAACCGTCACCGGATTAAGTATGCAACAAACTATTATTTCTTTCTCCTAACATTAACTGAATGTTGATGAATCACCTTGAGGACAAGTTTAAAAAGGCCAGGCTTTGTACCAAATGTAAGATTAAAGGGGCAGCCACTGGTGAAACAAGGAATTAGAACAACATTTCAACACAACATTTTAATTGATGAATACATTGCCAATGAACCACTGTTTAATGTTTTGAGTAATACAAATACTACTTCTCAGGACTTTTAAAACAATAAAAGTAAACTAGAGAATGCAATTCCTGAAGAAATTGCTAGTGGGAATGCTTTATGCTGAAAAGCTGACGCTAAACTGCTATGCTGAAATGTAATGTGTAAGAAGAAAGTGAAGAATTTAGATTGAAATCATACATGAACACTGGGGGCTTGAATGTGTGATGAGAGAAGAAAAGAAAGTAAAAAGGCTTGGAAAAGCAGCAGAATATTTGAACTGCAAACCTTTGAACTAACTTGATGGTGAATGATCTGTCGCCATGCCAACGGCATTTGATGACATCCCATAATACGCTTAGATGCGTTGATGGCTGCATCGTTACCAAACCTGTGAAGTTTTGGGCCATTTGGAGCATTTTCACTGAAGTTATGAGAAAACCGTGTTTCATGGCGAGCATTGTGTTGCCATGGCAACGGCATTTGAAGAAATCTCAAAACTGTCCCGTAGATGTCTTCACGGCTGGACTGTTAGCACACATGTGAAGTTTGAGCACTTTTTGAACATTTTCATAGGAGTTATAGCGACATCGTCTTTTATGGTGAGGGATGCGTTTCCATGGAAACGGCATATTGTGAAATGTCAGATTTGACGTATGCTGTTGAGGCATGGAGAGGTGATATACAGGTGAAGATTGTGGGACGACCGGACCGTGTCCATTGGAGCTACAGCGACATCGTGTTTTATGGCGAGGGATGCGTTTCCATGGCAACAGCCTATGGTGAGATCTCAGATTTGACGTAAAGCTGTTGAGGCATGGACCGGTGATATACAAGCGAAGTTTGGGGGACGATCGGACCGTGTCCATTGGAGTTACAGCGACATCGTGTTTTATGGCGAGGGATGCATTTCCATGGAAACGGCATATGATCAGTGGCGTAACTAGAGCCGGCCAGGGGCCCATGCAAAAAAAACATGTGGCGCTTCTGAGTGGTTGTGTATGTCCGTGCGTGTGTGAGCGCATCAGTGTGCGCTTATGTTTGGGGCGATGGGGGGGGGGGCCCAAAACAATATTTGCACCGGGGCCAATCACAACCTTGTTACGACACTGCATATGATGACACCCCATACTTGACGTAGAGCTGTTGAGGGCAGGACCATTAACCATTATCTGAAGTCTGCTGCTCTGAACATGTCAGTTGGAGTTATGACATCATCGTGTTCCATGACACAGGTGTTTATATTTGAGCTAACGACGTGTCCAGAGATCAAAGGTTTCCATGGTGATCAAATAAATGTGGCAAAGGCTCAAATTTGTTGAACAACACATTTGTAACAGGTTTGTTAATTGACCAAAAAATATGAACAGTTGGAAGATGGAAGAAAATGGGATTATTATTAGGATTATTTGTAGGTCATTGAAAAGTAGAATCATTTAGAAAGATGTGAACATTGAAGTTTCTATTTTAGAAAAGCTGACATTGTAGTGCATTGCTGGTTTTAAAAGTGATTTATAAGAGTCATGTTTAAAGATGTGCAATACTTAAAACGTTTATAAAGATCCTCTGAGTGTGTGTCATTAGTTAGCTGATAAAATGTTAGGGATAAATACCTTGACATATTGACTACAAGAGCTTGAATCAAACAAGCAACCTTGTATTTGAAAGATTAACTCACATAGCAACAGTCGCACCTGGTATATATGGCGCATTTCCATTGCAGCGCGTAGCTCGCTTTAAGCGTGCCGTGTCGTGCCGTCCCCTTTTTTGGTTGTGCTTCCACTAGGCCTCGTTCCGGCGCGGCACGGCGCGGGGCCACTTTTTCCCCTCTTTTCTGGCCCTAGAAAATTGTGGTTCTATCGGGGCCAACAAACAGGGCTGAGTCGGGCTGAGTATGCTAAACTAGAGAGAGGAGCGCTGGCAAGAGGGCTAGAACTACAACAAGATGGACATATTTGACCGTGATTTAATTGTAATACACGTTTCAAAATGATGCCGAAGTAACAACATACTGATACCGGTTAGTAAAAACCATGAATTAATGCTTTGTCAAGTCTGCAGACAGACGGCAGGCGAAAAACCTTTTAAAATTCGTGTTTTTCTAGATGGAGATTGGCTAAGCTAACGCAGTATATGCCCCGACCGTCCACACTCACAACAACGGCCTATACAGACATAAATAAAGCAGCGACTGTATTCACCATGACACAGGCAGTCTGTGGTGTGTACTTGTTTAACTTTTGTCGAGTTTCTGAACATATATAAGGAGCTGTGAGCTCTGAGTGCTCACAGCTAACGGCTGTGTTGTGTTTCTGGATTTCTCATTGAAGATGACGTCACGGCTCCGCCTACACTGCGTTACTATAGTAACTACCCCAGTTCCTAAACTGTAATGGAAGCGCAGCATGAAGTGAGTCGGCCCTGTTAAGGCCCAACGCGGCCAAGCCGTACCGAGCCGTACCGAGTGTGGCCGAGGCCGACCGTGTAGTGGAAATGCGCCATAAGTGGTGTGGCTGAGTACTTCAAAGGGTTCATGAATAGAGGGGACTTGAATGTGAAATAAGAACAAGAAAATAAAAGTCTAAATGCATGAAAAAGCAGCAGAATATTTTAACAGAAAACTTTAGAACTAAAAGCATGCGTCACCAATTATGTCTAAAATATGTGGAACATGTTGAAGTCAGTATGAAGTCTCCATCAGACGGAAAATAATAGGCTGAGACAGTCTGTTAAACTCCAATGACCACGTCATTAGTCTGCTGCTCTAATTATGTCAATTGGAGTTATGACATCATCGTGTTCCATGACACAGGTGTTTATATTTGAGCTAACGACGTGTCCAGAGATCAAAGGTTTCCATGGTGATCAGTGAGAGGAGAGCATTTTCATTGTTCTGAATGAGAGATAAACCTGTTACATGTGAATGTTTTGTTGAAGAACCGTAACAGATATCGGTGACATTTCAAAGTGTGAAGCATGTCAAGGAACTTGAGCATCTGAAGTGTACTTTTTGTATACTTTCGGGTTAATAATGTGGCCTTTTTGGCAGATTAACAAAAGGTGTGCGGCTGCTGTGGTGGGGAAAGGTGAGGCTGAACTTACAATGGAGTTTAATGGAGACATGTTGAAAGTTTTTGTCACTTCATGCCCTCAAGAGGCATTTTTTTGCTTAATTTTTTTTAATCTTTCAAGCTACGAGATGTTTTCCTACGTTTGTCATGAAAGATTTTGTCTCAGGAATGTAGGGTTTGGGAATTATGGCAGGTTTAAAAGAAAGTATGAAGGCAAAATTAAATCTGTCCTCCACTCTAGCTGTGACATCACACACTCTAAAATCTGAAGAAGGCCTCTTTACCAAGGTCTGAACAATGTTTAATATCTCTAAAAGTAAGAATCAGATTTAAAAGTTGTGTTACACGAATAATGTCAGAAAGATGTGTAACATTTTAAAGTTGGAATGAGGTTTCTGAGTGAAAGTATGAAGGAGCAGTTAGCAGTTGAAGGAGCAGTTAGCAGTTGAAGTTGCATGAAGATTGTTGAAGTCTGAAGATTTCTCCATTGACTTCCATGTTAAAAATGTGATGTATTATGGGATGTATCTCTGGAATTATGAAAGTTATGAATGATAAAAGTAATAGCCATCGATTCCCGACCGAGCTGAACGTTTTGATGTTTGAACAGAGTTTCTGCGATGTTCAATGCGGGAGGAGAAGTGGTGCAAAATAACCCGGCGGAATAATAAAGAATTTCGTGCGTAGCATAACAGATAGTTGGAATGCTGTGTCAGCATTCCCACTAAATTAAAACTGCGGTCACAAACGTGCGTGCAGTGATGAGCGGGCCCTCGCGTCTGTGCGCCTGTTGGGGAGGGCTGCCGGTCGTCCCGGGCCCTTTCTCATTTCACTAATTCCCCTCCTCGACTCCTATCCTCGTGTCTTAGTCCCGCCCAGGGGCGTTTCCTGGACCTGGAATCATTCGGGGCTTAGCCCACAGTTCATTAAAGTGGACCTATCATGCTATATTTAAATGGTATATTGTAGGGCCATACCTATATAAGGTATATTATTAACAGATCATGCATTTTAGCCATGCCTCATTTCGCTCTATGTGCTGTCTACGGGTCTGATTCTGCTGACCACGCCCCCCTGCAGGAGAGGGGAGACGTGCTCTGATCAGCTGCTGGGCTGTCAAAAGAGGGGGAGAAAAAGAGATCTCCGTGTTTTATTATATAGAGTCGTTATTCATTTGTTTTAAAGCTCAATAAATAACAAAGAAGACCTTTGACCGGCACTTTTCTAATTTTGTCCGGAAGATTTAAACTTTAACGGACATCTTGACCGGCGAAAGAAACTGAAACTGAAACTCTGCCGCACGGTCCCCTCGTTCCTTGGAAGAGGCGGAGAGGTGGGTGTGTGTCATCTGCTGGTGGACTAACCGGAGAGAATTACAGTGCTTGCCTCGACGGGGAGGGATTGCATTGAATTAAAGCAGCGGGAGCAAACGCTTGCCTCGGGGAGGGAGAAAAAAAGCCACAGCGGAGAATAAACAGAAGGGTAACCATGGTAACTATGGGCGGGAAGTCTTCTTCGCTGCTTTTGTGGCACACTACAGCGC